ATTACCGCCACCCGGCGTGTAAATGGATTTAACTCTTTGAACGTACAATAGTGGTTGTGAAGCAGAAAGTCAGTTTATTTAGCACAATCGGTCAATTGCAGCTTGCCGTTGGCTGGAAACTGTACGTTTATGTCACTGGAATGCACTAATCACCCAAAAAATATTACCGCCACCGGCGTGTAAATGGATTTAACTCTTTGAACGTACAATAGTGGTTGTGAAGCAGAAAGTCAGTTTATTGTACACAATCGGTCAATTGCAGCTTGCCGTTGGCTGGAAACTGTACGTTTATGTCACTGGAATGCACTAATCACCCAAAAAATATTACCGCCACCCGGCGTGTATATGGATTTAACTCTTTTTGAACGTACAATAGTGGTTGTGAAGCAGAAAGTCAGTTTATTTAGCACAATCGGTCAATTGCAGCTTGCCGTTGGCTGGAAACTGTACGTTTATGTCACTGGAATGCACTAATCACCCAAAAAATATTACCGCCACCCGGCGTGTATATGGATTTAACTCTTTGAACGTACAATAGTGGTTGTGAAGCAGAAAGTCAGTTTATTTAGCACAATCGGTCAATTGCAGCTTGCCGTTGGCTGGAAACTGTACGTTTATGTCACTGGAATGCACTAATCACCCAAAAAATATTACCGCCACCCGGCGTGTATATGGATTTAACTCTTTGAACGTACAATAGTGGTTGTGAAGCAGAAAAGTCAGTTTATTTAGCACAATCGGTCAATTGCAGCTTGCCGTTGGCTGGAAACTGTACGTTTATGTATACAATATATGAAGAGAGGAACGAGCGCTGGGATATGACAGGATTCAAGCTGCTAGTCATAAAGGTAAACCTCGTATACCCCTGGAAACTTCATCAAAAGTCAAATACAAAAAATTGCAGCGCTTGAGTGTATAATACAGGAATTAACATCAATAGCAGATTTAAACATTCATATTTCGACATGCACCAGATCCCACACTCTTAAATTGTTGTAAACAGTATCAGATAAGTAATGAAGATTATCCGCTAGTCAAGGTTGCCTATAGTGATGGGGATGTTAAAGTCATAAGTTCTGTGATGTATCCAAACAAATCACCGTGACTTCCGTGATAGGGGAATAACTGTATAATGCACTACCAGATAGCGCAAGTAAAATGCGCATTGGAGTATAATGACCTACTCCTGGTCACAGCCAGATGGTCCTCAGCGTGAAGCCCTCAGGAACACCAGTGCACCACTCTTGCCGTCTCCTACCACCAGGGGGAGTGCGCCTCTTTACAGTAACACAAAAATCACTTTATATCCTCTATCGCCAGGATTGGTGTGCTTTCATATCAGGAGATCATCTCAGGGGCTCAGCAATAAGACCTAAAAGAAAGAAATCTTGATAGTGTAGTATTTTTATTCAAAGGTAAAAAGTAAGTAATACACTTACATGGTAATGTCCAACAAAAGCTGATGCATAGAATCCAAAAGATGGCCGACAGTCAGATGCATTTAACAATGGATGATCAATGGTCTGAGAGGTGCCTTTGGCTAAAACTGCGTTTCGTGGGAATGGCACATTATCAAAGGGAATGTGCCTCTCAACCATGGTCCCTTATATATAGAGGACCTCTAACGTATTTTGAAGCAGAAAGTCAGTTTATTGCTACACATCGGTCAATTGCAGCTTGCCGTTGGCTGGAAACTGTACGTTTATGTCACTGGAATGCACTAATCACCCAAAAAATATTACCGCCACCCCGGCGTGTGTATATGGATTTAACTCTTTGAACGTACAATAGTGGTTGTGAAGCAGAAAGTCAGTTTATTTAGCACAATCGGTCAATTGCAGCTTGCCGTTGGCTGGAAACTGTACGTTTATGTCACTGGAATGCACTAATCACCCAAAAAATATTACCGCCACCCGGCGTGTATATGGATTTAACTCTTTGAACGTACAATAGTGGTTGTGAAGCAGAAAGTCAGTTTATTTAGCACAATCGGTCAATTGCAGCTTGCTGTTGGCTGGAAACTGTACGTTTATGTCACTGGAATGCACTAATCACCCAAAAAAATATTATTAACGCCACCCGGCGTGTAAATGGATCTAACTCTTTGAACGTACAATAGTGGTTGTGAAGCAGAAAGTCAGTTTATTTACACAATCGGTCAATTGCAGCTTGCCGTTGGCTGGAAACTGTACGTTTCTGTCACTGGAATGCACTAATCACCCAAAAAATATTACCGCCAGCCGGCGTGTAAATGGATTTAACTCTTTGAACGTACAATAGTGGTTGTGAAGCAGAAAGTCAGTTTATTTAGCACAATCGGTCAATTGCAGCTTGCCGTTTGCTGGAAACTGTACGTTTATGTCACTGGAATGCACTAATCACCCAAAAAATATTACCGCCACCGGCGTGTAAATGGATTTAACTCTTTGACATACAATAGTGGTTGTGAAGCAGAAAGTCAGTTTATTTAGCACAATCGGTCAATTGCAGCTTGCCGTTGGGCTGGAAACTGTACGTTTCTGTCACTGGAATGCACTAATCGCCCAAAAAAATATTACCGCCAGCCGGCGTGTAAACGGATTTAACTCTTTGAACGTACAATAGTGGTTGTGAAGCAGAAAGTCAGTTTATTGTACACAATCGGCAAACTGCAGCACCAACTGTGCACGACAGCCACCAAAAAAAAAAATGGTGTATGTCACTTTAAATTTTCGATTCTTTGATAGCTGTGGCCCTAAGTAACGATTCTGTGTCCCTGAGAGTAACGATTCTGTGTCCCTGAGTAACGATTCTGTGTCCCTGAGTAACGATTCTGTGGCCCTAAAGTCTCTGTGGCCCTAACTCTGTCCCTCAATACACAGAGGTCTGTCTCTCTTGAATGACTGGAGGCTAATGGAGAATTCTAAGATGGTCGCGATTTATAGCTCCACCATTACACAGTGCTGGCTGGCTGCTGATTGGCTAATGCGATCACATGTCATGATTCATGACTCATGAATGCATTATGGGTCAGCGCGCCTTGTCTGCGCGCCTTCCCAGAGATCCCCGCCCCATCTTCTCTGTCCATTTTCTCCTGTCGCCATACATGTCGCCGCCATTTTTGGGAAAATTCGATTCGTGCATCCGAAGTTTGCTAATCTTCGGATTCGTCGCGAATAGAATTTTTCCAAATCTTCGGAACGAATTCCACTTCGTCATGTTCGATTCGCTCATCTCTAATGTACATACTTGGTAATGTTATGCCCAATCCAGTTGTCTTCCACGTATTCTGGTAGTTTGCCTTGAGCTAAAATATTTTGCATTGATCATTTATAGCTAATTCTGACAGACCCAACCGGCAGAGGGGCATTTGGAGGGGACTACAGGCCAGCCTCTTGTCTACTGACCATGGGCCCTGGCATTCGAAAGGGCTCTATTCTTTGGGAGGTGTGGGCCTGGGGGATCTTTGGAGTAGTTTTACTTCAGATTCAATTTAATGTCCCCCAGAAACAGGCAGACTATTAGAACTGGAGGACCTGGATACAGATTTGGGGCCTCTGTGGTTTGATGGGTTATAGACAGCCCAAACCAGCATTGACTGCTTCATCCCCCTCCTGGACTTAGAGACTCACAGCAGATGTCATTATAATCAGCTCAAAACAACCTGATGCTGAGGTTTCCTGCTGTAATCTATTAAATATGGTGTTATGTGTTTACTGTTGTGTCTTTCTCCCATTGTTGAGGTAATTGAGTCGACTAGTGTTTCTGTCTGTTGGCTAATTCTCCTGGACGTTCCTACATGATTGGATTAGTCTTGTGTCAACTTGACCTTGTTACCCAATCATTGTGGGATGTTTAATATTTCTAATATTTGTTTTTATTGTTCAGGTAGTGACAGCCTTTATTTCTGAAGTGTATAAAAAAAAAAACTGCATTTCTGTTAAATAAAGTGATTGCTTTGGATTTTACCTCAACATCCTGTCTGTGTATAATGCTTGTGGTAAAGGGCTGGTATTAGCTATCTGTCTGCTGGAAGGATTTGGAGGGCAGGAGGCACTGTTTGGCAGATGCACCGAAGCAGCGTTCCAGGTGGTCTGTCACACAGTCCTTTGCTTATTGTTAAAATTCAGAGCTGCTTATTATAGATATGTGTGTTTAGCCAAAGGTATCAACATATCTAAAAAGGCTATCTTGATGTTCAAGCATTCCAAAAATCTCAAGAGGTCATTCGGACTGGAACATTGCAGGTTTATGCCATGACACGAGGTCAGCTCTTGTGGATTTCAGGGGAAATAATGGCGATTGGATAAAATTCTGAAATTTGACCAATCATAAATATAAGATTGTCATTTACTCTGGTTGTCTATAAACAGTTTAAAGATGGGTTATAATTTCTGTTTTTCTGACCTCAGAAAGAATGATTCCCCTTTTGCCATATAAATCTGCACTGTGCCTGTAGAAATGATCAAAAATGCATTAGCAAAATAGTGTACTGTTACTCATTAATAAAAAAAGATTAGTTTAATGGCTGGCACAACAGATTCGACATGGAAGCGTTCAGACTATGTTGGCTTTCATTAGCAGGCTTGATGTGAAGAAACACAGAACATATTTCAAAAGCTTCCATTTCAAATCTGCTGCAGAAGTTTAATCGTTTTACTCCAGTTATTTCTGATAAAACTTTTTGCTGCCCATGTCCCTATGTGGATGGACATACAGACAAGGATTGCAATAAATACCTGACAATGATTAACTCTTTCCCTCAATGAAAACTAAAACAATTAAAGATTATGAATGGCTTATGCATAGTTTCAGATGCAGTTTCTCAGCAGCAATTAACAAAAATAATACATTTTTCTAAAATTTTTATTTTACTCTATTTGTTGTGCCTTCATGTACAACATATTACGAAGACGCTAATCACCGTCAACTACTTTCTGTAAACAAACAAAGGACAATTTGTACTTACCAGCAGCTATTTTTGTTGTACTAATTGTTCTGTCCATCACTCTTCTTTCCAGTTGGATATGGGTATCCCAGCAATGACAAAATGCTGTAACCAACTTGATATTTGTTATGACACCTGTGGAGCCAACAAGTACCGCTGTGATGCAAAGTTCCGCTGGTGTTTGCATTCCATCTGCTCCGATCTCAAGAAAAGCTTGGGCTTTGTCTCCAAAGTTGAAGGTAAGCTCATTCTTCTCCCTTAATGTTTCACTGCCGTATTTTTTAATTTACTGTATATGTCCCAAAATTAAATATGTATTTTTAAGTACAAGGTATTTTATAGCAAAGTGTGTCTTAAATCAGTTTTTGCTGTATAATTGGATGAGGGTTAGGCTGTAAGGTTTTCATTGTTAAAATGCAAAATTGGCCAGGACACTAGCAAGTAAAGACCTTCAAATGTAAGTTTATCTAAAACAAAAATACAAAATCAGCACAAAGCCCTTACTTGCCTTCAGTGATATGTAGTCCTTGTGATGCTGCATTCTCCTTTTGCCAAATCCTTCCTCCTCTGAGAACCCTTCCCCTTCCCATGCGGTAATTGTCCCAGTGCGTCATAGAATAAAGGGGTTGTGCAAGGCACTCATCAAGATTGCCCAACTATGCCTGCCCTTTACACCCAGCTGCTACATTCATAGAAGCCATTACTACAGCTTCCATGAATGAAATAGGATCTAAAAATGGAGGACAAGCAGATGATTGATAGGTCTCCCCCTCTATTCGTAGAACGCATTTCATTCATAGAAGCTGTAGTAACGGGTTTTATGACTGGAGAAGATGGGTGGAAAGGGCAGGCATAGTCAGGTATTCTTAAAGAGCGCCTGTCCTGTCACAGCCCCTTAATTCTGTTAAACCCCGCAGCATCAGAAGTTTGCAGGGAGGGGGGCGCACATCAGAGGAGGAAGACTTTGACAAAAATAGGACACAGCAGCACAAGGGACATAGCTCACTGAAGGTATATGATGTTCCTTGTGCTGATTTTTTTTTTCTTTTAGGTACACTTAGGCTACAAATCTTTACTGACTTCTTAATTACAATAGCAGCATATTTAGCATAGAAGACATCAAAGCTTCATATGTTTTGTAGACACTATGGCCTTCTTTTTCAAGGTGTCTATCAAAGTTACATCCAAGTTCTTTGAATGCTTAGGAATATACAGGTGAAACTCAAAAAATTAGAATATAGTGTAAAGTTCATTTATTTCAGTAATGCAACTTAAAAGGTGAAACTAATATATGAGATAGACTCATTACATGCAAAGCAAGATAGTTCAAGCCGTGATTTGTCATAATTGTAATGATTATGGCTTACAGCTCATGAAAACCCCAAATCCACAATCTCAGAAAATTAGAATATTGTGAAAAGGTGCAATATTCTAGGCTCAAAGTGTCCCGCTCTAATTAAGCCATAGGACCTGCAAAGGGTTCCTGAGCCTTTAAATGGTCTCTCAGTCTGGTTCAGTAGGAATCACAATCATGGGAAAGACTGCTGACCCTCCATAAGGAGGGAAAGCTTCAAAATGTAATTGCAAAAGAAGTTGGATGTTCCCAAAGTGCTGTATCAAAGCACATTAATAGAAAGTTATGTGGAAGGGAAAAGTGTGGAAGAAAAAGGTGCACAAGCAGCAGGGATGACCGCAGCCTGAGAGGATTGTCAGGAAAAAGCCATTCAAAAGTGTTGCAGACTTTCACAAGCAGTGGACTGAGGCTGGAGTCAGTGCATCAAGAGCCACCACACACAGACGGATCCTGGACATGGGCTTCAAATGTCTTATTCCTCTTGTCAAGCGCTCCTGAACAACAAACAACGTCAGAAGCGTCTTACCTGGGCTAAAGAAAAACAGACCTGGCTGTTGCACAGTGGTCCAAAGTCCTCTTTTCTGATGAGAGCAACTTTTGCATCTCATTTGGAAACCAAGGACCCAGAGTGTGGGAGGAAGAATGGAGAGGCACACACTGCAAGATGCTTGAAGTCCAGGGTGAAGTTTCCACAGTCTGTGTTGATTTGAGGAGCCATGTCATCTGCTGGTGTTGGTCCACTGTGCTTCATTAAGTCCAGGGTCAACGCAGCCATCTACCAGGAGATTTTGGAGCACTTCAGCCTTCCTTCCGCAGACTAGCTTTATGGAGATGCTGACTTCATTTTCCAGCAGGACTTGGCACCTGCCCACACTGCCAAAAGCACCAAAACCTGGTTCAATGACCGTGGGATTACTATGCGTGATTGACCAGCAAACTCACCTGACCTGAACCCCACAGAGAATCTATGGGGCATTTTCAAGAGAAAGATGAGAGACATGAGACCAAACAATGCAGAAGAGCTGAAGGCCGCTATTGAAGCATCCTGGTCTTCCATAACATCTAATAATAGAGAATGTATGGGGCATTGCCAAGAGAAAGATGAGAGATATGAGACCGAACAATGCCAAAGAGCTGAAGGCTGCTATTGAAGCATCCTGGTCTTCCATAACACCTCAGCAGTGCCAGAGGCTAACAACTTCCATGCCACGCCGCATTGAGGCAGTAATTGCTGCAAAAGGGGCCCAAACCAAGTACTGAGTACATATGCATGTTTATACTTTTCAGAGGTCCGATATTGTTCTATGTACAATCCTTGTTTTATTGATTGCATGTAATATTCTAATTTTCTGAGATTGTGGATTTGGGGTTTTCATGAGCTGTAAGCCATAATCATCGCAATTATGACAAATCACGGCTTGAACTATCTTGCTTTGCATGTAATGAGTCTATCTCATATATTAGTTTCACCTTTTAAGTTGCATTACTGAAATAAATGAACTATTTTTTTTGCACGATGAACTTTTGCTAATTTTTTTTGAGTTTCACCTGTAAATGAACTTTTGCACGATATTCTACTTTTTTGAGTTTCACCTGTATTATAGCACAAGCCTTGACTGCATTACACACTTCTGTGACAGATTCTTGGTGTGCTGTAATTTCATAATGCAAAGGGCAGCTAAATTAACATAGGATTAGTGGACCATAAGGAAAATCTTAATTTTTGAAGATACGATCACCTTGTATAGCTAAGTGTTTCCAGAGGGGTGCAGAGGGATGTTAAGCATGTCAGCCTCCCATCCCTCTGCATTTTGCCTGTTAGACAAGCACTTCCTATCAAAGCATCCTTCCTACCACAGAGCCCCTACCTGGCTGTGGTATCAGGAAGCCATGCACCAAGGGGGGCCGCACTGTCCAACATTGCAGCCAGTGTTGCAGGGCACTTGAAAGATGGGGCAAAGTATTACATGTACCTTGTCCCAACAGGAACTGAATAATGTCAATTTAAAAAAAGTGATAATTCTTCTTTAAATATCTATTATCACTGTGTACTCAAAGATAAGGCAAACATGCCAAATGCTATCTTCACTGTAAACCTTTGTTTGTACTTTTCTTTATTACTGTATTACTTTGTGGGGCTTTGGATTGCCCCTACAACTGTGAACTGTTTTTGTTGTACTACATCTCTAAGTAATTTATTCTTTTTTCCCTCTAGCCTGTGAATCAGTGGCTGACACAGTCTTTAACACAGTCTGGACGTTGGGATGTAAACCTTTCATGAATAGCCAAAGAGCATCCTGCATCTGCAATGAGGAGGAACGGGATGAGCTATAATCAAAATAAAGCCATTTAGTAATCCTGGAGTATTGCTGTAGTACAAGACTGTCGATCAATAAAGATTACATGGGTTACAATGCATTCAGAAGCATTGCATGTGTGTAGTGACTGTCATCTTATCTGCAGTGTGAACTGGCCACTCGCCTATATGTTCTGCAGGACCAGCTGCATGTTCAAAAGCCCACCTATATGGAGATTTGATTGTGTCTGAATTGCTGTTCTCTGCCTTCTGGCAAAGTGAAACATTTTATTCCATTGTTTCGAGTTCTCTCCCTATCAAAATCACAGTTCGGCCTATTTATTATAGTTGTACAATTCATGTTTTCAGAAAAGAATTGCTCTTGAGATGTATTTCTCCTTTGAGAATATAACATTTAAATAGTCAAACTAATATGATGGAAGTGTTCTCCATTTGAATGGGTTCTGTGTTTGACATTTGAAGTATCATCAGTGTACTTTATAGGAGAAGCCAGTATCTTGTAGGTTGTGATGTGCATTTAATGAAATAAAACTTTAACTCTATGATGGCCACATTGTAATAAGTGGAGGACACATAGAGCTGCATGGGGTCGTTTCCGCCAATGTTTAATAAAGAGAAAAGTTTGTGAACAAACGGTCTTGTATCTCAGTAATTTGGAGCATCACATACTCTTTTTGGGCTGTTTAAGGGAATTAAGAATCATCACTCAATAAATTGTGTGAATATCAGCTTCAATTATCCTACCACGTAAAAAGCACATTTCTGTTTATTTAAAGTGTACGTTACCAAAAATTAGGAATCCATTTATACCTATTGCATGTACCCATAATGTTTTTATTTTGTATGCTGCAGCTAAATATCTGGTGACTCTGTCATTTCCCCTGGGTACCTATTATAAACTGACAAGCCCCTAGCACAGTAGCAGATTAATGCTGGTGTGGTCAGTTTGCATCCTGGGGATAGCTGCTAGAACAGTTTGCCTGTATTTCCCTTAGCCAATTTTGTAGTCACACCCCTACACATAAAAACATACATGTCTACCTGACACATCCAGTGCTGACTCTCTGCAATAGAAAAAGAAAATCTGCATTGCTAAGGCACATTGCACTTGTCACTCAAGAAGCTGGCATGCATTGAAATCTTAAAGCCATTACTTACATCACCAGCAGTTGCACTTATGAAACATTGCATGAGAGAGAGATAAAGAATTTGCTTTATTTAGAAAATCTATCAATTAAAATAGGTGATGGGGGTGGGAGTTGAAGAAAATGAATCAACAATGGGCTCTATATCTGGAGAAATCTCTAACAGCACAGGTAAAAAGCTATGTTATCACCTAAATAGGGGTATACAAACTGTAAATCTAGAATATGATGGGTGACTGTGTACATATATAATATATTGTGACAGGTCAAGACCCGTCACTGTGAGAAGATAGGAAAATGTTACACAGGATTCGCATTTAGAGTGAATGTAATGTTCTAGTGTTTCTGGGAAGAGAAAGCTGTGGAATGGGTTTTCTCTGGATTCTGCAACTCTGGATCAGAACATTCAATCCTGTGTCTGGGTTTTGCTAGACACCTGCAATCTGGAGTACACAGGTGTTGATATATACTCAGGCCTGAGAATAGCTCAGGTCTCCCAGTTGGAGACCGCTCCTAGTGGGGGGAGATGGAAGGTCTCATTGAAGAAGCATAGCGAAGTTGAATGACAGCAGAGGGAGTGTCCATAATGCTACCCTGCACCGTACATTAATATTGGTAAACTTTCTTGATATAGGGGGCTTCAAGTGAGGTCTCCAACATCACCACACATTAAATTAAATGAATATTCAGTTTAAGTAAAGGCAGGCACACACAAGATATAGCCAGAGATTATAGGCATGACAGAAGAGATAGTCAGAGACTATAAACATGATGCAATAAATTAGGGGTGTCAAACTGGTGGCCCGCCAGCTGTTGCGAAACTACAAGTCCCATCATGCCTCTACCTTTCAAAGTCATGCTTGTAACTGTCAATCTTGCACTGCATCATGGGACTTGTAGTTTGGCAACAGCTGGAGGGCCTCCAGTTTGACTCCCGTGCAATAGATGGTCAGAGACTATGAACATGATATAGTTGTTGGAGATGGGGAACATTCTTCAAGAGAAACAGAAAGGAGACACATTACAAAAGACTGCTAAAGATAATTTCTAAAAACAGGGCAACAGAGAAACAAAATTATAGTGTCTGCAGAGACCCTGAGAGCACAGGTTGGGCATCACGTGCGTCCCCCCGATGTGTGTGATGTTACAACCACCCACATATGTAACAGACATGCCCCACCCACTATGGAAACAACTTGAAGATCAAGAGTCACATGACAACCAAAAGGAGTTTAAAAACATAAATAGCTTTTGTTTTTTCAACATATTAATTCAGTTAGAGTGGTAAAATACTAGATGCTGTGTAACACTGTGGTTTTATAGTAGCAGGCTCAAAAATACTTTATTTCATCTGCACTTGACTGAATTTTCAGTGTGAACAGAAATTCGCTGTACCAAGCTAGACCATTGTAATTATGTAAAATATCCATACCTGGAATTCTTCTGTAAAATTGTAAACATCTATGGAATTGTTGAGTCTTCTATGCATTGATACATTTTCACAAATAAAAGTGACCACAGTTATATATATTGTATATATGGGTTTTTTTAAAGATATAAAACTTATGGAAATTCCTGATCAGGAGTGTTTTGTTATTGCAGTGGACCTGTCTGCAAGATCAAGGGAATGTGCTGTGTGCGAACCACGTCTTGCTTAGTATAGACAGAGGCAGTGTACAGAGAGGTGGCATGGAATATACAACATACAGTACAGCTTACAACATAGGGTGATGGAACTGCGGGAATACAGTGGTAAGGGGCTAAGGGGGAACAGTAGGGGCGAAAGGGCTGATACCAAGTTTTGGCGGAAAGTCGGGGTACCGAAGGAGGTGGACTGGATTAACAGAGTAAACCAGATAGGTAGAATGGAAAGATCATATCATATGCAGGAAGATAGAATGAGAGTTTATCTCAGGAGATGGGAAAAGTGGGAAAGAGCAGGATTGAAAGAGAAATATAGGAAAACATGAACTACGATGTTAACAAAAAATTAAAAAGCCTCAAGAGAATAGAATGGGTTAGAGTCTGCAGAGGGGGAGGAGGGGTGGGAAGGAGGGGTAGTGGGATGGGAAAGAAAAGAGTTTTTAGTAAGGGAAAGGCAGAAATGTTATAAATGTCTATCTGTATGAGAATTACTTCCTTTTTGAGTTTTTGTATTAACATGAAAAATTTAATAAATATTTAAATTAAAAAAAAAAAAAAAAAAAAAAAAGGGGGGAACAGTAGTGTTGGGCAGGACTAGACTAGAGACCAGGACCCACCAGATCATTTGTCTGTGCTGGATGGATCACTCTTGAACTTCAGCTGTAAATGACACAAGGGCAGCATTGTGGCCACAAATTGAGCCTCCAATATATGTACAGTGAGTGAGAACATAGTGGGTCCCATTCCTCTTGGGACCCATGTGCCTTGCACACAAAGGATACAGCACTTTGACCGCTAAATCCTTTTGGTGCTAGTACTTCACAACTCTCTGAAAATACATTAAAGGTGGCTGTCTGTGTAACAATTTATTACCACTGAACAGTAAACAGAAGTTTGTGCTTGTGCCAATCACCTATAAAAATTGGGAGCATGATGTCTAAAGACATAAACCGATAAAGCCAAGTATAATAATGTATAGTTCTGGGAAGGCACTTAAAATAATCACCATAATTACAGAGAATCTATGGTCAAATGAAGAAACGTATATGTTACATTACAGAGATCACAGCTGGAGTGATAAATCGCATTATGCCTGAAGCCACAAACCTTATTTATGTCTGGAACAAGCAGAGTCTAACAACGTGAGCCGGCATGGCAAAAATTAGATTTATAGTCAAAAGATATCTTTGGATTCTTTGTGCAAGAGACATTTTAAAGCACACCAGAAAAAATAGAAGTGAATCTTGTTCACCCTCCACTCTGAAGAGTACATCAAGAAAATGGCATTTATGTATGCAACTCACTTTTGACTTTCTATAACCCCACATTAGTTTGTCAGTTAACATCTGATGCAGTGAAATCAGAGTATATGAATACGTGTGCACCAGCCTGCCAATAACAGGTGCATCCACTGGGCTGTGCTTTACTGTCCACCTTCAACAGGTTCTTCAGACAATCTGGGGGAGCCTGTGACTACAGGAACAGTAATTGTATGTGGATGTGTAGCTGACACCCTCAATAATATGTGCAGAGCAGAAGCCCTTTGTAGTGTGTGCATGCGCATGTATGCAGGATGTGTTCAAATGCTCAATAACATGCCTATTGCCTTTATGGTGTATTTTTCACACACTTTTGTTGTGTTTTTGAAGCGCTGAAAAAACGTCAAAAACGCTTGTCATATGCTCGCATCCTTGCATAGCCCAGACCCCCTTTGGCTTACATGCCCATAAAAGTGTTGTTTTTCAAGAGTCAAGTGCTTAAATGGTGAGCGATGTAGAGGAATGATCTGCTTTGAGTCATGGTCAGGTAGTGGTGTGATAGCAGGCATTTTTGTGATTTATCAAGATGGATTTGTATACTTTGATCTCTGACATATGGCTTGGTTTAGCTCAAGATGTTGATGAAAAAACTATCTTGGTCACTTGGCACCAACACTTGCTAGCATAGTTTCTTGCTGTCACTGACTCTTTACTGATATAAAAAGCTTTGCCACTGGCAAAAATTCTCAATGTCTCTGCTCCTACCTGACACTGTCAGTTTTGTTGGCTGGCATCCTTTTGTCTGCACACAAAAGCAAATGGTATAAACATGGCTGCTCTGTACAAACAGAAAGGTGCTGGAGCTGCTCTGTCCTTTATTTCCCAGTGCATTCTGGGATACAGGACCCCAATGCCTCTTTCTCAGCTCCCAGCTAACACTTTATAAATGCTTTGCTAATGTGCTATAACTGCTATAGGCATGGTTAAAATGCAGATATGGCATGCTACCAATTAAATAATGGAGGCGATGCTTTCTGAAAGTGACATGCTGCTTCATTTTTCATCACAACTCTACCATATCTGTGTGTACTACACTGTGCTGTGCTCATTGCAATATTTATGGCAGGCATTGAACAAAAGGTTAAGAGGCTTCAAAAACACTGCTTAAATGCCACTTAAACACAGGTTATTGACTCGCATGTGAACGAGCCCAAAAAGCTGCCTCACACCCCAGTCACAGTGCATCTCATCCAGTCACTTCACCCTTCTCTTCCATCTTCTTTGCTCATAGCACATGCCTGCTTGCCCATGTCACCCTCCTTACCCCCCATTCACAGGGCATTCTTCCATGGCCACCTCCCTCTTCACATCGTATCTCTCTCCAGCCACCTCACCACTTGCACACAGCACATGTTCCTTTTTGTAGCATCAAATCAAAAAAACCTTTTTGTATCCGAAACATGATTTTGGGACCTTTGAGTAAACTCAAAATTTGTATTAAAACTCAAAACATTCTCTTAACTTTTTCTGTTTGTATTTAAATCTTATAAATTAGTATTTGTTAGTTTTTAATGTATCAAATTAAAAAGCTAGGGGGGAGCTCTTTGGCATCTCCTCCTTGGGTATCAAAGAACGATGTCCTGGCCCAGATTTGAATTAATACCTAGTAGAGAATTTTGAAACCTGATGTTCTTCAGCAGTTGCAGGTAACAATTGCTGATAATGACATTGCGATACGAGGAGTAGAGTTATTAAGAGAAATTACGGGGTTGTCAATCCTAACCACTTTCTAGGAATACTGGTTACCTGGCTGTCGCTGGCTCTAATACATGCTGACTCAATGACCCCAAACAAGCATGGGACTTTGAAACGCAGAGTGATATCAGAACTCCTCATCTGAAGGCTTGTTCAGTGCAAGTATTGTCTAGACAAAGTCATTGGCAAGGCATATGACAGTCAGGTGATTAGTATTCTTTTAGTTTCTTTAAGAAAATGATGATGTAAAGAGCTGGTCATCTAGCACAGCTCACCCAATCAGTGTGTAATCTGTCTCATGATATACTCTTAGAATATTGCAAATGTTTCCTACGTGTGCACTAAAGCCATAATTTACCGAATAAACAAAATCATGCCAAAAAGTGAATTGCACATGTAATATAATCATAAAATACTTTAGAAAACGTTTGATCATACAAACAGCTGTATAACATGTAATTTACAGATGAACAATATGACATAAAAAATTGGCAATAACAAAACACAACCACTTATACTACTCAATAACACAAAATACAGACTTATATGAGTGTAACCACACACAAATAGGAAGGGACTAAGGACAAATTTAATTGTTACTCATGTTTTTTTTTAATGTCCATAAACTTTTACTAGGATATTGGGTAATCTGGAAAAATCTGTTACCATGCATGCCCAAATATCACCAGATATCATTCAAAAGTGAATAATTTATAGGGCATGGTTGGCAATATTTTACATTAACTTTAAGTGGGACTTTGCTACTCACCTGCTATTTATAACCTTGTTGCTGTGCTTAATATTGCCTTGAGGGCCTCAAATCAAAATGTACTCTGGTATGACAGATTTATTGCACACCCTATATTATACGCGTGATCTCCAGACTGAAAGACCGTGTGCCATTGCTCACGATGGGTTTTCTGATTGTAAAAATGGTGGATTGACAGTTTTATGTCTATCCTCAATAGGGTGCCAATGTAGATGCACAAATGGGGGACAGGGAGAAATCCTATCCTATCCCCTGTGGGAAGCTAACAGTCTAATGTATCTCTCACATATTAGGTAAATAATTTACTAAAGACAAATAGGCTGTTCACTTCGCTAATAAAGTTGTACTATGAAAGGAAATTTTCCTCTGAATTTAGTGAATATGGTGAAATTTGAAAACAATACCCAATCACATGCAAAGCAAATTTTTAAAAAATTTGTGTTGGGACATGATTGGATAATGGAAGTCAGCAGCATTTCACCTCAACAACTAATCTCTGAAAAAAATTCCCTTACAAAGTACACAGTTTATTTGCCTTTAGTAAATCAAGATCCAAGTCACACAATCGGTTCTTCTGCTGGCGACACATTGCAAGTCAAGATCAGTCAGTTTTTTTTTTTCATTCAGCTAGTGGGTTGAAAGAAAAAAAAAAAACACGACTCAATTCTCCCATCCACACACTTGCTGTGGATGGAGGAATCCTCCCCTGCTGTTAGATTTTTCTCTGCTCAATCAGCACTGCAGGCTATAAAGCCTGCAATGCAGATTAGTGTATTCTGACAGGACAGTTATTATATCAGTAGATCGATTTCTGTACAACCTCCCTGCCCATAGATGAATCAGAATTTGCTGAACCGGCCACATTTCAGTCTATGTATAGCCAACTTCAGTGATCCGGTTTCTCCATGAAGGTAAAGTTAAGTCAAACCCAACACAGAGCTACAAAATAAGATTTTTAAACATTTAGTTACCATGCTGCTAGCCCTGGGTTTGTCCTTAGAATTTGGAAACACTATAACTATTCTTGGCATTAAACTTAAATTGCAATCATCATAACTTTGAACCAATATTTATCTTTTCACTAACTTACTGAATGATCTAAAATGTCAGACTGGATATAAAACTTTTGCTGTGCTGTTGGGAAATTGCAGTCCCGCGCCTCAACAAAAAAATGTAGGAAATTGGCATGCTATATACATAAACAGAATATCGTTGGGTTAATTTTAGAAATACAAGACAAAAGGCAGGAGTTATAAATAAAATGCCTGATGAGATGCTCAAACATGAAGAAGCACAATATAGCAGTATGTATGTACAATATGATGGATATGGTTGGAAATAAAGTTACTCCTCCATGTCTATTATTATAGGTCCTCCAGTGAGAAGGTGGTTTGACAGGTGACTTGTTTCCTCTTCCATATCTGCTTCTCTGCGCATCCGTCTTCGGCATCCTTGAGCACAACGTGAACGCTCATCTGTGGCTCCACACACTAAAATCTGGCAGTGAAGGAACACCTCCTATGTGCAAAGATATCAGTAATTTTCTTAAAGGCATGGTAAAGATTTCTACTTGCACCTCAAGTTTTTTTCACCTACATAATATGTCCATTGTTCATATAAATTCTTGGTGTCACTAGTTGCCCTGTACACACAGGGGTGGATTTACTAAAAGCATATAGACTGTGCACTTTGCAAGTGCAGTTGCTCCAGAGCTTAGTAAATGAGGTAAAGCTTCACTTTTCAAAAAATACCCAATCACGTGCAAGGAAATAGAAATTTAAAAAAAGCAGCATTTTTGCTTGCACTTGATTGGATGATGGAAGTCAGCAGGGCTTCAGCTTGCAGACTGCAGTCTATTTGCCTCTAGTAAAACAACCCCACAGTTGAGTATTTCTTAACATTCCTGTATCAGCAATTTCTTAAGCACGAGGCATGCCACTGCACAGGTTAACACATGAACATTGTCTGTAGTATAATACCTGACACTTCCTGTGAAGAATTGACATATCCCCAATCCCTGGGTCTCTCAGTCTAGCAGTGGTGCAGGTGGGAGCTACACAGTAATTATATCTGACAGACACAAGCAGGAAGAGTATTTACAGGCACACAGAGAGCTCACTTGTAGTTTAGAGATGTGTTTCATCATGTGATCACCCCCATATTTGTGACGCAACACAAAGGGGATGGCGAAGCATGCATCGGATGCTGTGTGACCCAGAAAAGAAAGTTGTCTTGGCCCTTTGCTGCCTAGGAACAAGCTAGCTGCAGCAATACATGGACATAGGAGAATCAATCAGCCGCAACATTAATACAAGGCAAGGCAAACAAACAGTACAGGGAATAGAACTACACTAATAGCTACATGTGGACAAACATAAAAAAGTACTGCGCTAATGCTCCTATCGCTAATATCAGCTGACATGGCATTTAATGAACTGGTGCAAATCGTATAAAACAGCTTGTCAGGCTCCAATGTGCTACAGAAAAATGGCAACCGATTGCACTCAAGATGCCGACTCACTGTGACCAAAACTGAAGCAGGTAGTGTAAGATGGCTTCAGCTCTGCTCTCCACCCACAGGAGAGGTTTGAGGGACCTTTTCTGCGGGTGTAGAGCAGGATTGAAGCCATCTTACACTACCTGGTTCAGTTTTGGTCACAGTGAGTTGGCATTCTGAGTGCGATTGGTTGCCATTTTCCAGTAGTACACTAATACCTAAGGAAAACAAAAGCATTTGGAAGTGTACAATTCCATTAAAATATTTGTAGGCAGGACTGATGACTTGTTTATTAGTACCAACCCAGAGTCATTCCACAGTTTGTACATGGCAAGATTTCAATAGTCAGACCATGTATGGGACAAAACAAATTGGGAAATAAACACTAGGATCTGTAGCTGATACTAAGCTAATATATTAAGTCGAAGGATAAGTTCATCTTTTGAACATGTTACATCCATTGACACACAGGAAGCAGATTGTCCCACCCTCCCCCATTCATTCCCTCCTAACAGTCTGTGATTGACAGCAGCGGATGCCAATGGCTCCCACTGCTTCCTCCATGTCCAGAGAGGTGAGGGAGTCGAGAGAGCTGTTGCTCTAGGGCACAGTGCTGAATCAAGATCGGGCTTAGGTAAGTATAAAGGGGACCTGGGGGGAAGCTGCGCACAGGTTTTTTTTTTTTTTTTACCATAATACAAAGAATACATTAAGGTAAAAAACATTCTGCCTTAAGAACCTTTTTAACCACTTGCCCTCCAAAGGATACCCCCCCTTCCTGAATGGGCCATTTTCTATGTTACTTTAACTGAAAATTACACAGTCATGCAACGCTGCACCCAAATGAAATTTAAGTCCTTTTTTTCTCACAAATAGAGCTTTATCCTGGTGGTATTTGATTGTCTGTGTGTTTATTTTTTGCGCTATAAAAAAAATTTTTTTTTACTTTTTGCTATCAAACGTCCAGTAAAAAAATAAAAAAAAATAATATTTCGCCATAAATTTAGGCCAAATATATTCTGCTTCGTTTTTGCTAAAAAAACTCCCAATACCTGTAAATGAATTGGTTTATGTGAAAGTTATAGCGTTTACAAATGGCGGTATAGATACTGGGATTTTTATTTTTACTAGTAATGGCGTCGATCAGCGACTTATAGCGGGACTGCAGTGGGCATTCTGACACTGGGGGGAACTGACATGATGTCACGGACATCCCCAGTGACACCAATACAGTGATCAGTTCTAATAAAAAGCACTGACACTGTACTAATGGCACTGGGCAGGAAGGGGTTAACATCGGGGGTGATCAAAGGGTTAACTGTGTGCTGTTTTAGTGTGTGCATCACTGTAATCACACTGCTGTGCAGGAGCTGCCAAAGGAGAGAACTGTACTGTTTACATCCAGTTCTCTCCCTCCGTCGGTAATGCTCCTTGATCACTGGGTGACGGTCAGTGATTGATAGTCAAGGCCGCGAATAGCGACCCGGGTAGGGCGTGCGCACCTCCTACCTGGAAATGCAACAACACGTATATATACACGTGATTTTGCGCACCCCTGCCGCCCTGTAGCAGTATATTTGCTATAGGGCGGCGGGAAAGCGGTTACGCAAGAGATGTTGCAACACACACACATTTACAATGGAGATGCTTTACACAAACTAGTTAATTAGATTTTAAATATTGATGACTGAGCAGCAAGTTATCACATCCCTTGGATTAAGAACAACCTTTATTCCCACAGCAAACAAGTGTTATCTAAAATCAGCTAATTGTATCAGGCCCTCTTCACTGATTTGTGATGTACTGAGGCTTTTTATTGAACAGGCTAAAGAGCAAACACCACAACACCATAACAAGGAATAATAAACCTTTACGAAAATGGTAACAATTTCATAAAATGTAACTTAAATTAAGTAAAATAAAAATAATATATTTAATGCAACATAAGTAAATAGTAAAACCAAACAAATGAGCTTAGCTCTACCCTCTGGTTATTATCATCAGGCAGAAAGTGTCAGTCAAACAGCAGGGCCCTGTCAGCCCCATCCACTTGGTACTGGAGCAAGTCAATGCTTGAAACTATACAGATTATGCATGCACTCTAGCATTGACTTTTTTGAGCACTACGTAAATAGTATGTATGGAGGCTGGCTTCTTAGTTGCCTGTCTGTCATGGTCACTGCCTATACTGTTCAGGTAAGGACTTCTGACAGTTCTGACTTTCCTGATCTGTATACTTGTTCCAGGTCAGAGATGCTAAAAATATTGGAGCAGAGGATCAGCATACAAGCTAAGCAACTAGCATTTTCATCAATGGCAAATCCTATATAGACATTGAGTGAAAGAAAGAGAGAAAACTATTAGGCATTCAAAGGGAACTTTGGTTAGTCAGAGAGGTCTGTGTGCATGTATGTATATATACAGTCAGGTCCATAAATATTGGGACATCGAGACAATTCTAACTTTTTTGGCTCTATACACCACCACAATGGATTTGAAATGAAACGAATAAGATGTGCTTTAACTGCAGACTGTCAGCTTTAATTTGAGGGTATTTACATCCAAATCAGGTGAGCGGTGTAGGAATTACAACAGTTTGCATATGTGCCTCCCATTTGTTAAGGGACCAAAAGTAATGGGACAGAATAATAATCATAAATCAAACTTTCACTTTTTAATACTTGGTTGCAAATCCTTTGCAGTCAATTACAGCCTGAAGTCTGGAACGCATAGACATCACCAGACGCTGGGTTTCATCCCTGGTGATGCTCTGCCAGGCCTACTACTGCAACTGTCTTCAGTTCCTGCTTGTTCTTGGAGCATTTTCCCTTTAGTTTTGTATTCAGCAAGTGAAATGCATGCTCAATCGGATTCAGGTCAGATGATTGACTTGGCTATTGCATAACATTCCACTTCTTTCCCTTAAAAAACTCTTTGGTTGCTTTTGCAGTATGCTTTTGGTCATTGTCCATCTGCACTGTGAAGCGGCGTCCAAGGAGTTCTGAAGCATTTGGCTGAATATAAGCAGATAATATTGCCCGAAACACTTCAGAATTCATCCTGCTGCTTTTGTCAGCAGTCACATCATCAATAAATACAAGAGAACCAGTTCCATTGGCAGCCATACATGCCCACGCCATGACACTACCACCACCATGCTTCACTGATGAGGTGGTATGCTTAGGATCATGAGCAGTTCCTTTCCTTCTCCATACTCTTCTCTTCCCATCACTCTGGTACAAGTTGATCTTGATCTCATCTGTCCATAGGATGTTGTTCCAGAACTGTGAAGGCTTTTTTAGATGTCATTTGGCAAACTCTAATCTGGCCTTCCTGTTTTTGAGGGTCACCAATGGTTTATATCTTGTGGTGAACCCCCTGTATTCACTCTGGTGAAGTCTTCTCTTGATTGTTGACTTTGACACACATACACCTACCTCCTGTAGAGTGTTCTTGATCTGGCCAACTGTTGTGAAGGGTGTTTTCTTCACCAGGGAAAGAATTCTTCGGTCATCCACCACAGTTGTTTTCCGTGGTCTTCCGGGTCTTTTGGTGTTGCTGAGCTCACCGGTGCGTTCCTTCTTTTTAAGAATGTTCCAAACAGTTGTTTTGGCCACGCCTAATGTTTTTGCTATCTCTCTGATGGATTTGTTTTATTTTTTCAGCCTAATGATGGCTTGCTTCACTGATAGTGACAGCTTTTTGGATCTCATCTTGAGAGTTGACAGCAACAGATTCCAAATGCAAATAGCACACTTGAAATGAACTCTGGACCTTTTATCTGCTCATTGTAATTGGGATAATGAGGGAATAACACACACCTGGCCATAGAACAGCTGAGAAGCCAATTATCCCATTACTTTTGGTCCCTAAACAAGTGGGAGGCATATATGCAAACTGTTGTAATTCCTACACCGTTCACCTGATTTGGATGTAAATACCCTCAAATTAAAGCTGACAGTCTGCAGTTAAAGCACATCTTGTTCATTTTATTTCAAATCCATTGTGGTGGTGTATAGAGCCAAAAATGTTAGAATTGTGTTGATGTCCCAATATTTAGGGACCTGACTGTATATTTGTAATCTGGGGTAGCTCTGGAATGATCGACAGCCAGTTTGGTGAAAGCAAAACAGTTTATTTATTTGGAACAAGGATAAAAAAAAAGACAGCTTACTTCAGCCAAAGTCTATAAACAGTCCAAAACCTGGTATCAGAAGCTAAACCGCATGCTCACCATTAATCTTTGGTCTCATACAGGGGATAGGCTCCTTCATAGTAAAGGTGCCAGGCAGGCCACATTGTGGGGTCAGCAGCCCATGTCTCAGCTTGTCTGAGAGCTCCCACTTGCCAGTTTGTGAGTCTCTCTCCCACTCACTTCCCTGACACACCTGCTGATTTCCCTCTGCTGCCATGTAAGCCTCCCTCACCTGGGACTTAACCCCTTTGGGACAAAAGTCCTGTTAGTCAGGACCCTAATGCAAATTTAACCATCTAGAAAGTACTGAAATGTCTCTACAATTATCCTCCTTAAAGAGACCACACCCCAAATATCGGTGAAATGTATCTGCCATCCATGACAAATTCCCGGTGTCCAGTACAATATACTGCCACACTATATTGCAAAAAGTATTGGGACACCCCTCCAAATCATTGGTTTCAGGTGTTCCCATCACCTCCATGGTAACAGGTGCATAAAATCAAACACCTAGACATGCAGACTGCTTCTAAAAGCATTTGTGAAAGAATGAGTTGCCCTAGGAGTACAGTGAATTCAAGCGTGGTACCATGATAGGTTGCCACCGATGCAATAAGTCCATCCGTGAAATTTCCTTGCTACTAAATATTCCACGGTCACCTGTTAGTGGTATTATAACAAAGTGGAAGCAACTGGGAACAACAGCAACTCAGACATGAAGTGGAAGGTCACGTAAAATGACAGAGCGGAGTCAGTGCATGCTGAAGCACACAGTGCACAGAAGTCACCAACTGTCTGCAGAGTCAATAGCTAAAGACCTCCAAACTTTGAGTGGCCTTCAGATTAGCACAACAACAGTGTGCAGAGAGCTTCATGGAAGGGGATTCCATGGCCGAGCAGCTGCATCCAAGCCTTACATCACCAAGTGCAAGGCAAAGCGTCGGATGTAGTGATGTAAAGCACGCCGCCACTGGACTCTAGAGCAGTGGAGATGCATTCTCTGGAGTGACGAATCACGCTTCTCTGTCTGGCAATCCAATGGAAATGTCTGGGTTTGGTGGTTGCCAGGAGAACGTTACTTGCCTGCCTGCATTGTGCCAAGTGTAAAATTTGGTGGAGGGGTGATTATGGTGTGGGGTTGTTTTTCAGGGGTTGGGCTTGGCCCCTTATTTCCAGTGAAGGGAACTCTTAAGGCGTCAACATACCAAGACATTTTGGACAATTTAATGCTCCCAGCTTTGTGGGAACAGTTTGGGTTTTGCCCCTTCCTGTTCCAACATGACTGCGCACCAGTGCACAAAGCAAGGTCCATAAAGACATGAATGAGCGAGTTTGGGGTTGAGAAACTTGACTGGCCTGTACAGAGTCCTGACCTCAACCTGATAAAATACCATTGGGATGAATTACAACGGGGATTATGAGCTTTGCAACCTTATTCTTGCAAAACATACTGATGGCATTGGTTACAGAAGGATTTCTAAACTTCTGAATGTTCCAGCGCGCACCATAATCCAGAAGGGGAAAGAACATAATTTCACCATAAAGCGGTCACAACCAGGTGCTTATCACACGATTTCTGACAGAGGAGTGAAAAGAATTATCAGAAGAGTTGTCCAAGAGCCAAGGACCATTTGTGAAGAGATTCAGAAAGACCTGGAATTAGCAGGTACAACTGTCTCAAAGAAAACAATAATTAATGCACTCAACCGCCATGGCCTGTATGCATGCTCACCACGCAAGACTCAATTGCTGAAGAAAAAGCATGTTGAAGCTTGTTTAAAGTTTGCTGCACAAAATTTAGACAAGCCTGTGAAATACACACCACGGTTGGAGGTTAAATAAAGTTTGGAGGTGGGAACATCTGGCGTGGGGCTGTTTTTCAGCATACAGTACTGGCAAACTTCGTATCTTTGAAGGAAGGATGAATGGAAAAATGTACCAAGACAATCTTGATAAAAATCTGCTGCCATCTACCAGAATGATGAAGATGAAACGAGGGTGGAAATTTCAGCAAGGCAATCACCACAAACAAAGCCAAGGAAACTCTCAATTGGTTTTAAAGAAAGAAAATAAAGCTTCTAGAATCACCTCATTTGATTCCAATAGAAAATCTATGGAAAGAACTAAAGATCAGAGTTCATAGATGAGGCCCACGGAACCTTCAAGATTTGAAGACTGTTTGGGTGGAAGAATGGGCCAAAATCACATCTGAGCAATGCATGCGACTAGTTTCTCCATACAGGAGGTGTCTTGAAGCTGTCATTACTAACAAAGGATTTTGTATGAAGTATTAAATAAATTTTATTTAGCATGTTCAATACTTTTTCTCTATGTCATTCAATTTTGTTACACAGAACCTAATTTCTGAACTTATTTGTTTTGGTTTCTTTGTATGTATGGATTGCATGGGTTGTTACCGACAAGTGTGAAAATTTCATATCAATAGCACCTTTAGAAATATATTTACTGACAAAAATGGTGACGTGTGCAATACTTATGTTTACCTGCTTAGTTGCACAGGAGGTCACTTGCTCAACATAGCACCATTCAGAGAACACTATGCCTTTTTTTTTTCAGCTTACAGAATCCAGTTACTCTTAATGTCTCCGGAAATGTCATCAGCTACCAGCATCCAACTACCCTTGATATCCCAGGACCTGTCAGCTTCCATTTGGCTTATCTGGACCTCTCAGGACCTGACTCCTTCCAGCATATGACTTCCCTGGATCTGTCAGGATCACATTTTCCAGCACTCAGCTTCCCTGGATCACTCATGCCCTATCTGCTTCCAGCATTTGGCTTTCCTGATTCTCTCAGGACCTGCCACCTTCTAGCATTTAGCTACCCTGGATCTCCCAGGACCTGTCTGCTTCCAGGCATTTAACTACCCTGGTCCTCTCAAGGTCCTGTCAACTTCCAAAATTTTATTTTCTTGGATCTATCAGGAACTGTCAGTTTCCAGCATTTGGGTACCCTGGATCTCTCAGGACCACAGCTTTCAACATTTGTTTTCGCTGATCACTCAGGACCTGTCCACTTCCAACATTTATCTTCTCTGTATCTCTGAGAACCTTTCAGCTTTTAGCATTTTGCTACTCTGGATCTCTCAGGACCAAGTGCTTCAAGCATTTGGTTTCAATGGATCACTCAGGACCTGTCAGATTCCAGCATTAAACTACCCTGGATCAATCAAGACCATAGCTTCCAATATTTGGTTTCACTGGATCACTCAAGACATGTCTAATTCCAGCATTTCTCTTCTCTGGATCTCTCAGAACATGTAATCTTTCAGCCTTTGGCTATACTGGATTTCTCAGGAACACAGTTTCCAGCATTTGGCATCCTTGGATCTATCAGGACCTATCTGCTTCCAGCATTTGGCTTCCTTGGATCTGTCAGGACCTATCTGCTTCCAGCATTTGGCTTCCTTGGATCTGTCAGGACCTATCTGCTTCCAGCATTTGGCTTCCTTGGATCTGTCAGGACCTATCTGCTTCCAGCATTTTGCTTCCTTGGATCTGTCAGGACCTATCTGCTTCCAGCATTTGGCTTCCTTGGATCTGTCAGGATCTGACAGACTTATTTGGCTGGAAATAATGCTAAACATTTGGAACTAACGGAGAATACAATATGTGTTTTCCAAGATTCATATAGGAGTGTTGATGAGGGTTTTAATGGCGAAACCTGCCACTAGTCATTATTTCCCAAATGAAGGGATATTTCACCTTTATGAAAACCAAGATCCCTTTTATAAAATTTCAGTCATCTTGTCACCCTTACTCACTAAGGTTGTATCAGACTACAACCCAGAATAATAAAGCTTCTGGCGTTACCTTGTTATCTTTCCCCACAAATTTGAATACAGGAACTTGGAAATGTTTGGCGAGATGATCTTTAGATATGTATTGTTTCACAGCATCATCTGAGGCACACCTAGAAAAAAAGTAAAAGGAAGATGAAGAATAGCACCGCATTACATTTTTTTTAGAACATTACCAGAGTGGAATCCAACCAATATTTTTTTAATGTATTGTTTTTTCATTTTGCATAGAGTGGGTAAAGATCATCACCTGTCAGTTTTGTATTGGTGTCTGTGTCCCCACTGCAAAGATTTCCCTCTCTTCCTTTCCCATTGCTGGTGGTCACAAAGAACTCAAATTGGAGCACACAGCAATATCATCAGGAGGAGTGAATACCTCTGTCACTTTTTTTTTTTGCTGTCTGCAGACCAGGGATGGACTGACCATTTGAGCACTCGGGCACTGCCTGAGGGCCTGGGGTCAGTAGGGAACCCCATGAGATGCCCTTGGTACCTTTCATTGGCTTTTTCATAGGCTTTTTTGGGTGTGGGCGAGGACACAGGGGCCCCATGATCCCCTATTGACCGGGGGCCCCATGAGTTGTCAGACTGCCCCTGCTGCAGACCAGTTACCAGAGATTCCAGTCACTACTTGTTCCATCAACTGCCATAGCCAGGACATAGGGGGAAATCTTTCAAATATGCCCACAGAAATATATCCAGAATATATCCAGTATATCCAAAATAGAAAAAAGTTTTGTCTGAAGTGAAAAACCAGGGAAACCAAAAGTGGGACCGTTACCCAAGACAACTAGATCCCCTTTCTAAACTGCCTTGGAAAAATTGTTATTGTTGCTTATGGGAATATCAACTTTTATTTTACATTTGTTTTTATTATAACTTCTTCCATATACTGTACCAACCTGAAAAAAGTGATGCTTTTGCAAAAACATTAGCTGCAATATGTTATTAGGTAAGAAAGGCTCTAAATGAAATTATGTTATTTCCATCTTTCCATGGCAGTAGCCAGATGATAATTTATTTTCCTATACATATTAATATAACCTTTAAAGTAAGAAAGCCAAGGTGGTTGTTGCAGGCACATTGCATTGAATGCAGTTTATCAATTCAGCAGAAACTTATAAAATCATCAGAACCCAGGGCTGTGCAAATTCCAAATAAACCGAGTACATGAAGTGGTTTAGGCCACAAAAAAAGTCGCTTCAGACTTGGGGTGATCATTTGTTAAGGTTATCATTTTTTGCCACTTAAAAGTTTGCCATAGAAAGTTTTGCTAAACAGGTTAAAATGAAAAATATGGTGAAATATAGCAAACATTAAAACAATGCTATATTAAAGCCAACTCCAGGAATTATCTTAAACTTACATTGGGCCAGCTTGGTTACATGTATTTTTCTATGTGAAATTTACTGTAGCAGAATGTGCTATATACAGTCAGTGCTATCCTATTCCTGGTGCTGCTGGAGCCACATGCTACCTGCACACTGAACACAGGGAGTCACTTGCTCCCATGGTAAATATCTTGCATTTTTTTAAATGAATACCAGGTATTCTTTGATTGTTGGAGAGGAGGGGCAGATGACTTCACAATCACCACCTTGTCCAAATGCAGAACTCTTTGTATTTATTGAAAAAATACAACAGATTTACTAAAAGACAGAAGTAGGGGAGTGAGCATGTAACCAAGCTGGCCCATTGTAAATTTACAAAATAGATAATCCCCTGGAGTGCAGCTTTAAATTGGAACTTTACCCATACGGACTTGATTAAAAATGATATTCTCTTGCAAAGAACATACATTCCACATGAATAATTATGCTATCAAAATGAGTGTGTGCTGTAAATTGCCTCCAGCATTGTTTCTTATTACTGAAGGCTGCAATTTTGCTGAAGCCCAGAGCACAAGTAATTTAGGCTGTCAGCAGATTGGCCTCTAGTGCCTTTGATTTTAGGCACAGTACCAAAAATAGAGAGCAACTGGGCATGTGCAGGGCAGAGTGAGACAGTGGAGATTTCCGAAAACCAGTGCACTCAGAATCTGGTGCACCTGTGCATGGTAGCCAATCAGCTTCTAGCCTCAGCTTGTTCAATTAAGTTTTGGCAATAAAACCTGCAAGCTGATTGATTTCTATACAGAAGTACACCTGATTTTGCACTCTCCAGCTTTAGTAAATAAACCCCAGTGTATTACTGGAATTTAAACAGAATAGGTACTTATTTTTAAAGTTTACATAGATATACCTGCAAAAGGGGGCAGCCTGAACTGATCTACCTGGACTTAAGTTTCTGACAAAAGTTCCTCTTTAAACTTACTGCACAGAAATATTTTATGGTCAGTTTAGGATGGGGTCAACGTGAGGTTAATTATTTGGAGTACAAGTGGATCATAGTTACCCTATAAAAATGTACCTACAAAAAACTTTTCTCTTTGCAAAATAAGTGGAGAAACTACAACTGCAGCATAAAGCCATAAACAGGCAAAACTGTTCGAATTTATTTTCCATGGTGAAAATATTTAGAGGTATTGATTTTATTCTGAGATATCATTTATACAGTATGACAGTCCATTGCCAGTTAAAAGTTTGTATTTAATTTTGGACAGAGAGAAAGAGTCTGTCAGTTTTTTGCTGTTTGCATCACTGTTGTTGAGATTTTCCCTAACTTCCTTTCGGGTCAAGAAGCAATGGAAAATATCCCCGATGGGGACACAGACAGAGGAAAAAAAAATAAAACAGAAAAATTCTCTTGCACTCTCTATCCAAAACTAGAAAACAATTTTTGGTTGGAGTTTAGTTTGAAAAGAAATGTTGACTTTGTTGTTATTTGTACTAAAACATTTAATTTTCCATTAGGAAAAACAGTACAAGTGTGATTTTCTAAAGGGTACATTATTAAACCATTAATGTAATACTCACCCATCCTGTATTAAGTAGTACTTTAGGATCTCATCAATCTTGGAAGTAGGTGTGGCATAGCAACTCTCCACCAATGTTTCCAGACCATTCACTCGCATAAGGGGCTCAATGCCAAAGTATAGGGAATCTCTGAGCTTTAGCACCGGTTTTGTTTCTTTGTAAGGCTCATCAAAGTCTTTGTCCTTGAATATCTCCAGGCTAAATGGGAAAGTGCCTCTGCTGCGTCCCACTATCTCCAGTGGTGAGTTCTTCAGATTGGGTACATACCCCTCTGAGATGGTGTACAGTCTGGGGAAGTCACATGTTATAGGAATTATGATCTTGCTGGTACGAATAATAATGTCACCATTACTTCCCGGAGTCTGCTTTGGCATTCCAGTCACCAGATTGGTTGCGATAATCTTATCACTTACTACCTGTAAGGCACAGAGATAAATACAGTAAAAGATGTCATCTCGGTTTTACAATAAACTGATTTGGTCCAGAATAACTATGTAAATCATAGGAGCATTGCCAATTCAGCTAGCTTTTGAAATATTTAGCAGTTTACCTGTAATTATTAACAAACGTATTCATATAATAAGGACATGGGCTAGTTGCAAACATTACACAAGTTATGTAATTTGAAAACTAGAGCTGTAACCAAATTGGAAATTGTTAATGAAAAGGATACACCAACAAAATAATACTGTACAAACTATATTCAAAACAAAAGACTTATCACACCAAAAAGCTAAGAAAACCATTAGCCTCTGGTAACACATACAGGTTGATTTACTAAAATCTGGTGCAGTTTTGCATAGAAACCAATCAGCTTCCAGGCTTCCTTTCCAAAGCTTAACTGAACAAGCTGAGCCTAGAAGCTGATTGGCTACCATGCGCAATACCACCAGATTCTAAGTGCTCCAGTTCTAGCAAATTGCCCTCAAAGTGCAATGTGTTTTACCACACTGCATGAATACAGGTCACCCCAAGGGCAGATAGAAAACAATTTTATTGCAGCATGCACAAAAGGATTACATGTCACTTTACAACAGCACAGTGTGCCACGCTGCTGTGCAGGGACATGAATGAAGTGTCATGTTGGGTGTAATGGTTGTGCGCATTAGGCACATGGAAGCTGTAGGTGACATCCATCTTGTTCAGGTCCCATATTGTTCAGGGTTCACATAGTCCAGTGATGTTATCTCCTCCCTCCTCCTGAAATTTATTGAATACATAGCCATAACTTTTAACACAACTCAAAAGAGCCTGTTACCTCATCTTAGGGACAACAGACACCAGCACACAGGCCTTAGTCAGAGCTCTAAACAGCTAATTGATTTCTAGTAGAATGTCTGTTAGTTTCTACAGACCATAAAAAAGTCTACAGATTAACATTCCATCTGTCCTATTGTAAAACTATGACAAAATCTGTACTTCTGTCAAATATAATGTGCAGGAAAATAAAGCACTAGGAACATTTAGTGTACCATAAAACATCTATCCAGAAAGCAGCCAGGTGTGGGCGACCTCTCTGAAACCTCTGCCCAATTCACAACTTAACAAAATCCGCACACAATTCATAAAATCCAACAGGACCAAGACACATTAATTTTAACTATATATTTGAATGGGAAATATGATACAGAACAAATCAAGGTTAAACATGACTAAGCTAGCACATATGAAAGGAGAGATACAAGTCTCCTACCTCCAGGGTTACAGACCCATCCAAAATACTCTGTTTGGTATCCCTGGACACTAAATATAATGCTGAACAATAATCTACCAGTTTCCAGAATGCAACCTGTACATAGTGGAAGATATTAATATCAGTATAAAACTGCATGTAAGGGAGGGCCCGATACAGTCATAAACATGGTGACCTCCCAGCCACCACCCCTTAAACTAGGTAAATGGTCAGATGGCCTATGTCAATACCCCCCTTTATGTCTGATAAAAAAAAGATTGCAAGCAGACTTGATAGTTATTGTTTAACAACAACTAAGGAACACCTAACTGGATTTGAGAGAGCCACTGTACCATTTTTGCTTGATCAATTGGACTCTGCTAAAATCAAGAACTCTGCAAGCATTCTTCATTTTCAAATACTTTTAAATTCTCTGTTGCTTTAATCCTTCTTTGTAACACTGTTTTTCTATAAATATTCTATTTGCACCATTTTGACCTTTTCATTATTAAACCCTATTTTGAAAAGTGTCAAAACTGTACCTGAGGCTTTTAATGCAAAATAAAAGAATCCCTGTCTTTTGAAAAGAGTGCTACTGTATTACAAATCTCTGAACATACCCGTCTGGGGTAACAGTGCATGTTGCACACGTATTCTAAAATCATAGTTGTTATTGCAAAGATTATGAGTTTCCTCCTCAGTTAAAAGGTGGTGGTGGTAGCTTAAAGAGTTAATTGCTTAGTTACTTAGCCCAGTGACAATTGCTCTCAGGTTGTGGCATCTAGATTGTGGTCCCGGATTATTGCAGCCAGAATGGAGAGCTGCCCACACATTAAACCTCAGCGATTTAGTCACTTATTCCATAATAAGAAGTGACTAAACTGCTGTGGTTAGTCATTTAGTCCATAATAATAGTAATCAGTCAGGGGAAGGTCACACGCTGCAACTGTTATCCCTTCAACGGGGTGACCAGCTGTGGGCTTTTCTATGAAGTTATGGAGTTCGGGCCACATATGTGCATTGTATGGGGAATGTAACTGAGAAGACCCTCAAAAAGGCTTCATTGCATTGAGCAGGGAGAGCCTCTGTATGCTCAGGGTATAAGATTACTGCCTGAGTCATCTTAGCCTTCAGTTTGCTTTTTCCATAGACTGTATGGGAAACTACATGTAAACATAAGATGAAAGATGTGCAAGTGGCAATATACAGTCTTAAGAAGGTTGTGTCAACTGCTTGTGGTTCCTATGTATTGAATAGAGGCTTACTGAGATGTGAGACAGAGAATAGGTAGGCAGTGCACAGATGAACGGCAGATTTAGTAAACAAAGCAGCCTAACTGTGACTTTGGGAATCCCATATGGTCATCTGTGTTCATGAAGAACCCTGAAAACTGCAGCCTGTGTCCTTATTTCCCTTTTTATTTTTCCTTTTTTCACCCTTCATATAATTTTCATCAACCATGGAAAATAAACTACAAGCAACAAATCTTTGAAGCCACTTTGACAGGAACTTTGAAGACGGAGATTCTTCACAGTTTAATATGAAGATTCCCTCTGACAGGAACCAAGACATGACAGCACATTCTCTATATTTACATACACTGATGACAGTCCCACAGGTTTTCAGGTTGAAGTTAATATTGACATGGGTGCCATTGGATGTTCCCTTGCAGGAGGAGTTGGTAAGTGACAGCTCAAGACCCCCAACTAGTTCCTTTGGCACAGAGACTTCTATGTTGCTGGGTTTACATATCACTGGAACTGGAATAAAAAGCAGAATAAAACTCTTAGCAATATTATGGCAAAAGTAGCTGAGTTAAAAAAAAGTTTTCTGTTCTGCACATCTCCATTCTATCAGAGCACAAGGTATATAGAAGCACTTTGCAGGTTTAGAAAATACAATTTGTGATAACGTCTATCTTCTTCTAGCACGAAAATCCCTGGTGGTTATTAGTGGCAGGATTAAATGTTCTATTGGAGACAGATCTCAGGAACAGAGCAGAGCGATCACTCTCTGCTGCAGGTCAATGGTGCAGCGATAGCGTCCCACCAGCTCTTACTATGAATGATAAGTACTTCTAACAATGTCATTGTGCAGCCAGGGAAAAGTTATGGTTCAGACAGAATCCAGAAACTTAATAGCTTGTGGGGAAAAAAAAAAAAAAAAAAGTGAAAATGTTTGGGAAGTATGCAGAAAAACATTTACCAGGTGCTAAGGTACATATAAAAAAAAATGATACACGCTGTTACACTTTGAAGACAATTTTGCTGATATCATCTAACAATCTGTGTATGGAGTAAAACTAAGTACAACTTGAAACCTTAACATTAAATAATGTTGTTTGGATGGATTCGAAAATGTCATCTGCCTCTCCAAGTCACACCTTGCTGCCTGTGGTAAATTTACCGGACACGCATTGGGTATTAGTGAGATCTTCCTTCACTTTTTGTCCCTGAAGCACATTAGAAGATGAGAAGAAATTTCTCCACTGTGACATTAATTTTTTCAGTATCTGTGATTGCAGATTAAAATGTAAAAATACAATTGATTAAAGTGTAACCAAAGGCAAAACGTGGTTATAGTGGAGAGGGATTAGAACACCTGTCAGTTTTTATTGCTGTCTGTGCCCCCATTAGGGAGATTCACCCTCTCTATTTGTCCTGTTTACCATTATCATTAAAAGTAAAAAAAAATCCCATATTTTGGATTATCCCCAGAAAAGTAATTGAGGGGAAATCTTCCAATGGGGGCACTAGTTCTGATGACCTGGGGGCGGGCCAAGAAATTCCCTTAATTTGCAGGGATTTCCTCTCACTTCCTGTTTGGCTATGGGACAGGAAATGAAGGGAAATCTCCACAATGGGACACAGATGGAGAAAAAAACATCAGACAGGGGTTATTATAACCCTCCCTTACTCTAACCAAAATGGAAAAAAAAAACAAGAATTCACTCATTTTCAAGTTATATCAAATGAAAAATGTTCATGTTATGTGAATCTTGTGTGAAAACATATACCTTTCTACTTCAATCCTCTACCTGCTATGATTTTCAAACACTGTGAAAGAAAATTAAACCTGGCTTTCTTGATTTGTACACCATTTGTATACTGTTGAAATTCACCAGAAATGTAATTTTACACACAGCTGATTGGCTAACTGCTATTCTCAGCAATTCTCTCCCAGCAGTGGTACTGGTCATGTGATTATAGCAAGCCAACCACACAGCACTCAGGAAATATGAAGGCAGATAGGATCATGTTTTCTCAGCAAACATGAAGGTACATTTAAAGTATTTTGATTAGTTATCCAACTCTACCTGTGAATATAATCTGCTATTGTTTTGTTACAAACCTCTAGTAATCCCTGGATTACATTTGTGAAACTATGTAAAACTTGCCTTTATTTTCAAAAATCTGCCCAGAAACAATGACATCTATGCTTATTTTTCTGGTTGGCTGGAATATACTGTATGTTTTTCTATATAATAGCGAGGGAAACTAACTAATAGCATATAGATGCTCTCGTGAGCAATTATTTACAAGCACATGTTGGGTAATACAAATCATATCAGGTAGCCACTGTATTACACATTGAGGTTGATTTGCTAAAAATGGAGAGTGCAAAATGGGGTGCAGCTGTGCATGGTAGTCAATCAGCTTTTAATTTAGCTTGTGTTAATTAAGCTTTGAAGAAAAAAAAGAGGAAGCCGACTGGTTTCTATGCAGAGCTGCACAAGACTTTGCACTCTCCATTTTTATTAGATCATCCCCTTAGTATTATAAATTGTCCTTCATTAAAAACACATATGTGGCAATAGTCAACATATCTTCAATGTGAAATAATATAACAGAAGTTGCTGGATAATATATTAAGAGGCCACTGAGTATCATGCCATAAGTCAGCGTAAGTCAGACCCCTGATGGGCCACGCTACTTGTCCCGAGTTCTCTTCCATAGTGAGTACAAGCAGCCAGGCACAAGGTAGTTTCCCAGTCTCTCATCACAAGGGAACCAGGCAGAAAGTGTCATTTGTAGATTTATTGAAACTTTCGGATAGTTGCTAAACTCTTTAGGATTGTGCTCTGGTGCACACAGAAGGTTTTTTATCTTTATGCATAGAATACATGAAAGTAAAAAACCTTGAGCCTTTACAACCACTTTAAGAATAGAAGAGCTGTGTCAAGAGAACCAGAGAGCACACAGAGACAGATTTCACGGAACCCAACATGCAGGCTTTTATTGGGGAGGTTTTTGGGACACAGACAACAGTTCCTTTAATCCACAGATCCACACCAGACACAGCAACACAATACAGTACTTTGGAAGGCAATATGGAACAACAGGGGTATGGTAATCTACAGGGTTCAGTAAGGCAAGGGCAGGGTGGTTTTGTGGGACTTCGGGTTCCTGGGGAGAATTGGACTCAGTCCTTTGGGCAGCACGAGGTTAGTCCACTTACTGGATGCGGGGAGCCAGACACAGAGGGCTACAGTCCACACCGGCAACACAGGGTTAATCCACACAGGCAGCTCTAGGCAGGGAAGGGTTAAGTCAGTTCGGTTCACAGGCAACAAAGATTTAAATCCAGCCAGGGAAGATGTCAGGCCTGCAGGCTCACAGGGAACAAGAGGTAAGTCCAGGCAGGGAAGGGGTTCCAGGCAGCATTGAGTTCACCCCCCACACCTGAGAGGATCCAGCAGCAGACGGACAGTCCAGTCAGTCAGGCAGATGAGGAGGACGGGGGATGGTCGTATCAGAGAAGCTGGCACTCAGCACAGTCTTCCCTCACACACGCAGCCAGGAGAACAGAAAAGGGTTTTTTTCCTGCTCACCCTTAAGTATAGAGCTGGGAGCCTTGTTGGTAACCGGAGACTTCCTGTCGGGTTACCATGGCAATGGGCCCTGTCTCCCAGGTCTCTGGACCCGCCCAGGGAGCCTGGGAAGATGTGCATGAGGGGGAAGGGAGGAGGGGGCCTGTTTGTGGATTCCTTCAGCAGGGGAACAGACTGCAAGCAAGGGGGGTGAGGGGCTGCTGAGGGCTGCCTGTGTCAGGGACACGGAGGACTAGGAGTCCCAGCATGGACGGGAGAGAAGAGTGAGGGGCTGCTGAGGGGTGGGGGGTGGCAGGCAGCAAGCCTAGAGGATGTGGGGGAAGGGCCAGCTCCGTGACAAGCTGCAACTCAGGGACTTCAGACACAAGCACAATCCAAAATCAGCTACTCTGAAGCAGGTGCTCAAAGTTTTAAAGCACTAGGATCTCTTTTTCTCCCAGGCCTTTACTCACTGTGTTCCTGTGTACTTGGTTTCCTCCTTCCAATGCCTGCCAGACACTGTACAGCGGGCCTCCAGGCCAGATCCTCAATGGACTCCACTTAAATAAATTCCAGCACCTTTACAATAGCAGGCCCTCAGCTCTCCCTGAGATGGGACCTTTGATGAACCTCCTGTAGTCTTCAGCTAAGCAGCCCAGGAGGGCAGACAGCCCCTCCTGGCTGGGTCTCTCTCCCCAAGACAAGGACCCTGCTGTTCTGGGCCCTTGACTATTTATGCATACCTCAGCACCCTGCTGGCCACTCTGTTGACCAGGCATTGATTGAGCTTGCGTGAATATTCAGCCCAGGGTCTGCTTCTTTCAACCCACTATGTTCCATAACTTCTAGAAAACAGGTGGAAGCAGTTGAGCCTGCAGCCAGCAGAACCCAGAACAGCCAAAAGCAATCAAAACTTGCTCCACTCCCTACAGAGGAACCCAGAAACTAAATGTACTTAATCCTATTAGCAACCTAACTAAGTGGGTGCTACAAGTGGAAAGAAGAAGGTAAAGAAGTTTAGGGGAACAAAATATAAGACAGGACTATATGTAATACATGATAAAACTTTACAAACTCCAATAAAGAGATAAAAACCAGGTGGAGCCATGTTTGTCATTGCTTCCTTATTTGTAAGCTCTTCTTTTTAAATTCTTATTTTTTTTCATGAGCTGTGTGTAAATAATTCACAGACACACTTGGATAATACATAATAAAAATTCTAAAGTTGTTGGTAGGTAATGTAGAACTCAGGTAATGTTATGAAAAGTATAATTCCACCATGTCACTTGCTACTGATGAAGAACATTCATTTAATGTAAGGAAAGGCTTTGGAATTATAAATGACTACTTCACTAAATGTGGCCAGTAAATGATGAAAAAACATTTGGTAAATTTGTGGACCGAAGGTTACATTAAAAACTAAAAAAAATAATTACAATTTTGTAAAAACACACCTTGACATGCATGGTTATCCTCAGACAGGAGAAGTCCTCGTGGGCATTGGCACTGGTAGGTATCACCAAATGGAACACAGCTGTGACTACAACCTCCATTGTTATTTTGACAGCCTTCAATATCTAAGAGAGATATTTTATTGATTTATAACAACACAGCATTGCCAAAAATAAGATTGAAATATATGAGCACATTTGTAACCATACATTCCAAATAATATGCATTAAAAATAATAACCAAAAGACACATCTCATTACCAACAGTATGCTTGAAAAAAAAAAAAAAAAAAAACATATATAATTGTATCTCACTGCTCCTTTAATTATATGTGCCTCTAAAAGTGAGAAAAAGTATAAGCAGGAAGAATATGTGGAGAAAGACATAATTATATGATTATCAGGTTACAATATACTAATCATTAATGAAGAGCAGAGTAAATATACATTTGGAATTTACATGATGAATTCCTTCATTGTCCCTGCTTTGGTCCATACTTAAATCTCTCCTGTCCTGGGTCTCACAAACTGTTGCTGGATGAGTTTTAATAGACTTACACAAGAACTGCATGGGCATTTTTAATTTCTAACCTCATTAATCTCATTAAGCACATGTACAATAACTATGATCAGGGTATTTCCTTCTTGAATATTTTAGCCTGTTCTTAATTCTGGTAATATCTTGTTGCATAGTTTATAAACTGTAAATTGTTATTGTTGCCCATATATTTTCTGGTATTACTTTTACTGCTATCTCCCACATTTTATTGAAAATGATGTGTGAATGAAATAAAATGTCTTAGTGCCATACCGACTGCCAGCTTTCATTTTAGAAACTGATTGCCTGCTTTCAAAACTCATATTTATTAATATTATTAACAAGACATGTACTGTTTCACGGTAATTCAGTATCTGCAGACTAGAACATTGTCAATTTGCTTTATATTGACTGTAAGAAAGAGCACATTTACCCAAAAAAGCAACAGCTTACTTTTTATTTAGTAGAGAACGTGTTTGTGTAATCTGATTGAAGGTGACAATATGGAACAGACAGACAATAAAAGCTTCCCGATTACTGCATATTGAATACAAGGCTTTACATTCTATATGAGAAAAGATATTCACAAAACTACAAAAAATACCACTTTCCTTTTTCAATAGTTATTTGAGCCGCCTATGCAGCTTCCCAAGATACTGTAAGTAGAATAGTTTCTTTTTGTCAATGTTATGCATAATGTGCAGACCAAAATTCTTTAATATATCTATGAAGAACTCCTGGAAAAACAGTAATACACAAATATGAGGGGGCATTTATTCTTGATGAACATTACTAATGTAAAGAAAATTATCCGTATTTGTTTAGCTTCTTTTTTTTATTTTTACCAGTAGTGGTTGGTAAATTTGTGTTGAGAACTGTATATTTGACCACAGGACTGGAAGAATAAATCTTAAAGAAATCACAGACATTAGTTGCCCAACAACAAAAGGTAATAAAAGTGTTTCGTAAGTCCTTCGGTTTTTTTCTTTTCCTAATGGTTTAAGCAAATATGCACTGGACAATGTCTACATCTGTGACTGCAAAAAATAATACTGACCTTTACTATAACCAATACATGTGAAAATGAATGCTTTTATGTCGAAAATGTTTTGAAAAATAAACATTAATGCACAAACATAATAGGTTTTATTTCTTGTCCAAAACAAAATTGCAGTTTTTGTTCTGTATTATTTTAAACTTTCCTTAATTGTTCTTGGTAGACAAGTGAATAATGCTCAAATTTGGCTGAGACTTCTCACCAATATTTTTTTTTTATTCCAGACTTATATGTGAAGTGGAACAGAATGCATTAGTTAAACACAACTTTCAAGGTAGAAGCAGAGTATATTGTTTTTTTTCTTGCCCAACTGCAGCAAATAAAATAAAGTAAATAATAAAAATAGGAAGTCATAGGAAATCTCTCCAATGGGACAGTGAAATCAACACAAACATTTTTAGTAGAGCAGGGAAAGTTTATAACTTGTATTAGGTTTTAATAGCTGTGTATCCCTGTCCCACTGACACCCATCAGGTACAGCAACAAAAACCTTACTGATGATATAGGGGAGATTTACAAAAACTGGAGGACTCAGAATCTGGTACAGCTGTGCATGGTAGCCTTCTAACTTCAGCTTTGACAATAAAACATGGAAGCTGAATGGTTTTCTATGTAGAGCTGCACCAGATTTTGCACTTTGCAGTTTTAGTAAATAGCCCCCAGAATAGTTCCACACTCTATCCGAAACTAAAAAAAAAAGTTTTGATTCATATTGAGGTTTTACTGAAGAATAACAAAGGGTTGTCATATTGTTATTATTCTGATATTTCCACAAATAATAAAAATAGGAAGTCATAGGAAATCTCTCCAATGGGACAGTGAAATCAACACAATTTAGTAGAGCAGGGAAAGTTTATAACTTGTATTAGGTTTTAATAGCTGTGTATCCCTGTCCCACTGACACCCATCAGGTACAGCAACAAAAACCTTACTGATGATATAGGGGATATATAGGGAACTCTTAATATCAAGAATTGCTGTTTGTCTCTTCTACTACAGCTATTTGAATTTGTGAATTCAGTGCACAGTTCCTACAGTTGTGACCAAAATTATTCAACCCCCACTGAAATTGAGTGTTTTGGCCAGTTTGACATTGCTTTTGATCATTCAGTCATCTTGCTTACATTTACATTAAAGAGGCACTTGTAGGTCAGACAAATATAACATAACAGTTATAATGAAATAACCACAAATGTCTTTTCTGTGCTCACAGCATTATCAGTTTTATTCAACCCCCAAGTGACATTCAATCTTAGTACTTAGTACAGCATCCTTTTACAGTTATAACAGCTTTTAAACGTGAAGCATAGCTTGACACAAGTGTCTTGCAGCGATCTACGGGTATCTTCGCCCATTCTTCATGGGCAAAGGCCTCCAGTTCAGTCACATTCTTAGGCTTGCGCACTGCAACTGCTTTCTTTAAGTCCCACCAGAGGTTCTCAATCGGATTTAAGTCTGGTGACTGCGATGGCCACTCCAAAATGTTCCAGCCTTTCCTCTGCAACCATGCTCTAGTGGACTTGGAGGTATGCTTGGGATCATTGTCCTGTTGAAAGGTCCAACGTCTCCCAAGCCTCAGGTGTGTGACGGACTGCATCACGTTTCCATCCAATATCTCCTGGTACTGAAGAGAATTCATGGTACCTTGCACACGCTGAAGCTTCCCTGTACCTGCAGAAGCAAAACAGCCCCAAAGCATGATTGACCCTCCACCATGCTTCACAGTAGGCAAGGTGTTCTTTTCATCATAGGCCTTGTTCTTCCTCCTCCCAAACATAGCGTTGATCCATGGGCCCAAACAGTTCTAATTTTGTTTCATCAGTCCACAAACACTATCCCACAACTTTTGTGGTTTGTCCACATGGCTTTTGGCATACTGCAGTCGACTCTTCTTATTCTTTGGAGACAGCAAGGGGGTACGCCTGGGAGTTCTGGCACGGAGGCCTTCATTACGCAGTGTGCGTCTTATTGTCTGGGCTGAAACTTCTGTACCCACATCTGACAAATCTTTTCTCAGTTCCTCAGCAGTCACACGGGGACTTCTCTCCACTCTACGCTTCAGGTAGCGCACAGCAGTCGAAGTCAGCATCTTCTTTCTGCCACGACCAGGTAGCGTTTTTCAACAGTGCCCTTTGCCTTGAATTTGCGAATGATGCTTCCTAAGGTGTCTCTTGGTATGTTTAACATCTTTGCAATCTTCTTATAGCCATTGCCCTTCCTGTGAAGAGAAATCACCTCTTCTCTTGTCTTCCTGGACCATTCTCTTGCCTTCACCATGTTTGTAACCACACCAGTAAATGTCTAGAAGGAGCTGAGTATCACAGTCATTTAAAGCTGCCTAATTGGTGCTTATTATGCTTGATTGCTGCTCGGTGACATCCACAGGTGTTTTCAATACCTGATGGAAAGCACCTGTATGAACCTCTGTTCTTCAGAGTGGTAGTCTTTAAGGGGTTGAATAATTGTGGCAATGAAGAAACCACATAAGAACCATTTACTACTGTATTACATAAACAATTGATGTCATTTTAGTTGCATTTGGGTAGTTACAACGTCCTTGTAGGATTTGATTCTGAATACAATTCCAAATGTACACTATAGTCCCTAAACCCCTTTACAGCATTGGGGGTTGAATAATTTTGGTCACAACTGTAATTACTACACCAGCAAATCATTCTCAGTAGTGGGAAGAGAATCTTAGGTTGGCACAAATGTTTAGCATTATAATAAAGTTTGTACTATACATGTTCAAAAATACCTGCACTATCTCCTCTATTCATGAAGGCTTCACTGGATGCATATTTGTGCTTACTGAATTATCAAAACCTTAATCATAACCATGGTTTTATCTAAACATTGAGATGTCCAAACTAAGTAAAAATATATTTTGCTGCATGTAGTCCATGAAAGCAGCTTGTATGAGAAGGAGAAATAGTTCTGGTATTTTTGTATAATCTGTATAACAATGTTATGAATACTGGACACAAACTGCACGTTATTGCACTAGGACAAGTGAACTTTCACAACTCCCCAATACTCAGTACAGGAACCAAATACAAACCAAAAACAAACATCCAATATGCAATTTACCTTCGCATGTCTTTCCATCTTCTTTCAAGAACCTTCCTTTCGCACACTCACAGCGATGGGAGTTCTTCAGGTTGATACAGATGTCACTGCAGCCTCCATTATTCTCCTCACATTCATTCTCATCTGCAGTTATTGAAAAAGTCATGCAAAAATAGTAGTTAGTTTCTATCCCATAGAATATTCATTTGAATGGTCATGCAATGACTTGGGTTTAGAAAAGCTGTGAGAACTGTGCTTTTAGGTTGCCTTCACATATGGAAAAGTACATGTCAGAAAATGAGGGGGGGTGGGGTGAGGAGATCTAGGTCTATGACTACATAGAGTTCCAAGTTGCTCTTCACCACATATTCAATAAGTCTGTACATGCCTCCCACACTGCTTATGTCGACATTTACCTTTTCAAAGAAAGTTGGTCTGGAAAATGAAGCCCCAGTGGTCAACTTTTGGCATTAGCTGTCCAATCATGTTAAAGAAGAGCTGGAGGGCATGAAGGAGGGAAGGAGCTCCAAAGCCATTCTCCTTCACCCTTAAATGCTCCCGCTCTTACCATCCAACTCCAGATTTTGGTAAAATCCTATTCCTGTCTGTAGATGTACAGACTGTACAATTAGGTTGTATGGTGTATGCAAGGCCAGCACTACCACTAGGCAAACTAGGTAGCCACAGCCACTGGTTTCCCTACTCTGTGCCATGGCCGGATCTAGGGGGTGCTAGGATGGGCTATGCCCCCCAGATTTCAGAGCAGATTTCCCTCCCCAAGGCCAGTCTTTCCATGAACGCTGTGCCTGGTTGGTGAGTGCTTTCCCCCATTCCCGCACTCACAGCTGGGAAAAGGGGAGACTAACCTACAGCAGTGCAGCCTGCAAAGGAGAAATAACAGTAGAGAGCCGGGAGGTGCAGGCTGTGCTCTACTCTCCTGTCAGTGGAGCAATCCTCCATAAAACAGACGACACAGGATCACTCTTACATCAGCATGTTCAATGTTTGATTCATTCCCTGGCTCCCTTCTGCCAAGAGATGAGAGGTCATTGGAGGTGATAGAGGATGGGGTAATCAAACTGTGTACAGCTCGATCCAAGAGCAATCCTGTGTCTTCTGCTGTATGGGGGATCACTCCACTGACAGGAGTGACAGCACAGCACAACCCATTCCTCTACCTGGTTTCCTGCCTGTAAGTTCAGGGTGGGGGGTGCTTACAGGCTGGGGGAACTGTACAACTGTACAATGAAAGGAGGGGGGAGGGGTAACAATCATTGTTGCTAAGATGGGAGGTTTGTGCAGGAGGGGGGACGGGGGCTATTTGTGCTGGGAAGGGTAATGGGGATGATTGGGGGGGTAATTTGAGCTAGGATAAAGAATGGGGGAGTATGTGCTAGGGGTGGGAGGGAGATTTGTGGGGAATTTGTGCTAAAAAGGTAAATTGGAGGGGTTTTAGCTATAGGAGGGATTTGGGGGAATTTTTCCTAGGTGGGGGATTAAAGGAAGCTGATTGGTGCTGGGAGGGGGGATTTGTGCTAGGAGGGAGGATTGGGCGGGATTTGTAATAGGAGAGGGGAATGTGGGGATTAGTGTTTGAGGTGGGATTGTGGGGAAATTTGTGATAGAAGTGATTTGGGGGGTTGTGCTATGAGGGAGAATTGGGGGGGATTCGTACTAGGAGGGGGAGGGGGGGGGGGTGTTGAGCTAGGATGGGGGATTTGGAGGGGAGTGTGTGCTAGGAGAGGGGATTGGGGGAGGATTGTGTGCTAGGAGAGGAGGATTTGGGGGGGAATTTGTGCTAGGAGAGGGGGATTGGGGGGAAAATTGTGCAAGGAGAGGGGGATTGGGGGGAAAATTGTGCAAGGAGAGAGGGATTGGGAGGGGTTTTGCTAGGAGGAGCCCTGAAATATGCCTTCCTAATCAGACCAGCTTTACATTGGTTGGACACTGATATCTGTTCTATCTGGAAATTAATGTATCCACCATGGGTGTTGATGTTGTTCTTCTGCAGTCTATCCAAAGCAAAAAGCTTTCTTTAAAAAAAAAAAAAAATTATGCTAACAAAAAAGAATTATGGTATTGAGGATCATCAGTTGGCGGTATTTTCTTGTAGAAACTCTACATTGTCTATTTTTACCAATCACAAAAACCCACAAAATATCAGTTTGCTCAATGGCTCAAGCTTGTTGGTTCCCTTTCTTTTTTTGTTTTAATTTCTTCATCACAAACAAACCTATGCCAACTAATTCCAGAGCCAATGTACTCTTCTGCTTCTTCAGTCCCAATGACAGAGTACTCCTCTAAACTGCAGCCCATTATTCCTCCTGTTAAATTCTGGCAGTAACCTTCATCTCGAAAATCCCAATTTCTTCAGGCAAAATCCTGGGGCACTGAATCTCAGGACCAAGATTCACCATTGGGCACACAGTTCAAAACTAGAAGGTCACCCCGGGGTCCATGGGACATTCTCTTTTCTATCCCATAACTATTAGTGGCCAGGAGTGAAGAGTAATGTTAAAGACTTTGTGGTGGCCTTTACCACCTTTTCTCAGAGCAAAGTTCTCTCTTGTGCAGTCACAGGACCTTTAAGTGCATCTTCCTATTCCCAAGGAATCCTGGGAACATCTGCTCCTAAATTTTATCATGAACCCTCCATCCTCTAAAGGCTGCTTAGTTATTGGCTTTTGGTCGACTGATTCTTTAAAAAGGTTTACTTTGCCCCACTTCAAATTCTTACATTCAATTTTCTGCTACTTTGGGTTGAATTTGTCCATGACAACCTTGTTGGCTGGTCAAAGTCTCACTCTCAGTAAGTGAGGCAGCACAGCGACAGCAGAGGGGGAGGCACAGAGAAGCAGGGAAGCTAGTACAGGTGAAGACATCATGGAGACAAAGGGCAGGCTCTTCAGCATTTTTGGGTTAAAGGAGTACATCTACTCCTAAACTCTCTGGGATGTTCACCTTTATGGCAAGTCACCATTGTCGGCCATTAGATCTCAATTTGGTGCTTTCAGTTTTATAGACACCACAATTTGAGCCAATTTGGGACCTTCTGTTCGTTCTTTTGACTCAGGTTTGTTCTTGGTGGGCACACTACAGCAAAATGTCCAGTTGGCATGGGACAGGAGAACTCAGTCAATGGACTCTAATGTCTCTACATCCCAACACACTATGGTCTCTAGACTGGTGGATGTCTCCCCAAAGGTTGGAGACAGGAAACTCTTTTCTCCCCCTTCCTTGGAAGGTGCTGATGACAGATGCCAGCTAGACAGGTTGGGAAGGAGTTCTGGGTCACCTTTCAGTGCAGGGGGCTTGGTCTCCACAGGAAAAGTCATTATCCATCAATATTCTGGAAAAGCAAGCAAGCTGCCTGGTTCTTCTACATAGGTCTACTCAGTTACAGGAAATTTCAGAAAGGGTACAGTTGAACAATGTCACGGCTGCAGCATATATCAATTATCCAGCCTCCCCTTAGATTTTACTCTGAGAGAAATCGCACAGAAGTTAGGTTCTCATATTGAGTATGACATGGTGGCATTTAACTCCACTCTATGTACTCTTTGTAAATGTTATCCCGCATGCAGGGATATGGGTGTGGTCCATGAGAGTGCACCACAGCTACAGTATCTGCCAACACTGGTACAGAGCACTGTTCCCAGTATACCATACTACTTCCAGTTTACACGCAATGTGTATGTGCTGTGTTCTGCTCTAAAACACTCAATGTGACCTAAACAAGTCCTTAAAATATCCTTATCAGGTGCTGGATCACCTGCTGGTGGCACTGTACTTCCCAGACCTGACAAGTATAGAAAAAGGTACACCCAGGTGGGAATGTCTACCTAACTTTCAAAATAATAGGCCAGCAGCATAAGCTGACGGGGGGCTTCTAAACCAATAAGGAAGATTTCTGCCAGGGAGAACTTCACAGAAGCAAAAAAGAAGTAACACCTGGGGATGACAATGATTTCCTGCAGTTGCTTGTAGAATAAGCCTGGAGCCCTGGTTGCCTACCGAGATCGTTAAGCCGATGTCTGTACACAGACCATTGTTCATATTCCCTAGGAAGGTTAAGTAGTGTGTGCATGTGTAGTATGTATATCTGTCATACTTTGTAAAGTCTTGTATTGTTTTCCCAAAATTGTAAGTAATTTATATATACAGCATTTTTATTTTAGTAAAATACATTAATACACTACAGAGGTTTTTACAATTATTTATACTTTTACTGCAAAATTACTTTAAAAGACAAAGCAAAACATGGCCCCAGAGAAAAATCTAAATTTAATGCTGGTGCACAAAATAACATATCAGTAATAAAAAAAGAAAGAAAGGAAAAAGCTCTATTATAGTTTGACTTGATTAGACTAGAAGTTTTGCTTAACATGCATTTTTGTAATCTGTGTAATCAGTCAGTTTTAGTGGTGTGTGTATGTGTCTGCAGGGATTCTTACTGAGAGAACTTTGAATTAGTGCTAATTTTATATATGTGATTTCTCAAGCTGCACTCTGTTCGGTATAGGACTCTGTCCTCTCTCCCTCCTTATATCATATCTCTTCCTAAACCTCCTCTTCAAGCTGCATGAACAGCTCTCCACTGCCCCATTTCCCATGGACTTATTATATTTCTACCAGGATTCATATGGAGTAAATTAATGAATCAGTAATGGCAGCTGATGGAAGATTGTTCCATTGTGTATCAATTCATGGGAGCCATCAATCGGCAAGTCTTCACATTCTGCTCCCCTGCTTGATGGAAGCTAAAAATATTCTTGGTCCTGCATGAACACTGCTATAGTCTGTTCATTCCTTATCTGCAAAAAGGCATTGCTGATTATCCACTTAGCTTTAAACTGCTTTTCCCAATACATCACTTCCGCATGAGATGGGAGTTTAATGAGGCCTGTTATAGAGACTAATGCTCCAAATCAAAATGTACAGCCTGAGCCATTGAGAACTATAGAATGAGTTACTCTGGTCAAATGTGGATGCCCCAGCCTTAAACTTTGTTTCCTAAATGTGTGATAAATTCACATGATTTTTGAATCACCCAGTATAAATAATGTTTACCAATCAATACTCACCCTCTTCACACTCTAGGTCTTCTTCTATAGTCCAGCACTGAGCCCAGAGTGTCAAGGACAAGCACCTTGGGGCATGTCAGCAAGCCATTCTGGGCTCACAAGAGAATGCTGCATTAGTGCCATTCTCTGCAGCATTCAGGTCCCTATCTCTGCCAGAGGAAAAGAAGGAAAGAGGAAAAAAAGAGGAAAAATATGATGCATCATGTCAAATGATCAGACCAAAGACCAAATTAAAAAAAGAAGCAGCATTAAAAAGAATAATGTAGGAATGGATATAATGTAAAAAATGTAAACACCAAAAAGTTATTAAACTAGTGCAGTCTCAATAAAAAAAAAAAAAAAATCTGTGCTATGCCCTAATAAAAATGAAATGAAAAAAAAAACATGAAAAAGAAAAAAAAAAAAATTCTGTAGCTGCTGCTTAGAAGTGACTTGAGCTCACTTAGCATATCAATCAAATCTTTTTCACAGGCCTACAATACTTCTCTATATGTGCATACAAATTCCAAAATAACATGATCTCTCAATTATAAGTTCTTGGTTCATAAAGAAGTCCATCAATGACAATTTTTTTTCCCAAAAGAAGAAAGCGCTCAGTACAAAAAAATACATCAATAAAGTGAACAAATGCTTTTGTGCTCTCCATGCCCCCCCCCCCCCCCCCTCAGGTGCTCACATACTTACTGGAGGCTTATGACCCTTGTTACTAGCATAAGAGTCAAACATCACTTTTAGACGATAGCCCTCCTAGACTCTTTTCTGTGCTGTGTTGCTTGCTTGCGTACTACTCTCCTTGACAGTCTCTGGCATTCACTTTGGTAGGTGTCACTACTCAGTACTCAGACTGCATTATAAACAATAGGGAAGAAGAAGCTACCACTGTGTAGTCATTTTTAGTTCAAATGAAATAATAATATCATTACAATCAATGACTTGGAAGTGCGGCAGCCGGCGTGTGCTCCCCGGGCCAAAAATTACATCACAGAAACCCAGCTGTTCTTGAGGATGCCCAGTGGGAGTGGAGAAACGAATTGGGCAGGGTTTCCAGCGACCTCATTTCCGGCCTGTGGTGCACACTCCATTCATGAGAGATATTATTTTTATGTAAGTGGAATGGTATTATCTTTTCATTTTTAAATAAAAATGATTACACAGTACAGTACTACTACTGAGGAGTGATACTTACAAAGTGAATAATAATGGAGCCACAATGGAGTGTGGAGAGAAGCCCAAGAGGGATATCATCCAAAAGTTGTTTTTGACTCCCATGCTAGTAGCAAGGGTCATAAGTCTCCAGTGAGAGTGGGAGCACCTGAGGGGGGCCATGGAGAACACAGCAGAATTTGTTCCTTTTATGGATAGATTTTTTGCACTGAGCACTTGCGTTTGGGAAACAAAATATTATCAATGGACTTTTTTATGCACAAAGCACTTACAGTTGAAAGATTATCAATTTATGAATTTAGCATTTATAATTGAGAGATCATGATATTTTGGTATTTGTAATTTGTAGGCACATAAGGATGAGTATTGTAGCACTGTGAAAAAGATTTGATTATGCTAGTACAGCCTTGCCTCCAAGAGTGTGTCTGTTGGTATTTAGTAGTCTTTTCCTGATGCAAAATCAGACTGTAAGCCCACTGTGTTGACTGACCTGTCATCTGCCATGGGCACAATGCTGATAGCTGGCTTTGTCTGGGCTAGTGGAGGAAGGTATACCTGACAAATAACAGCACTTTAGTTTTCTTTCATATAATATTTACAGCGCCTTGTCATGTGTCAGTTTTTGGAGTATCTATTATCCACATTGATCTCAGGCAGGACACAGGACTTACTCAACTTACCAACCAGCCTGCAACCAACCAAATTGCCCTGTCAAACAGTTCACGTTACAAACAGGGGTTTAGTTTGAACACATTTGTAAATACATGCGTAAGCTGCAGAGCGTCTTCATGGCACCCCAGTATTTTCTGCAGTCCTAATTCTATAAATTTTGAGAGCCTCCATAGAAGAAGCAAATGCAGAATATTGGATACACTGAGATCTGTTAGACAGGACAATTTGGTTGATTGCAGGCTGGTTGGTAAGTTGAGCTGGGAATTTTTCTTTGTTGTTGTTTGACATGTGTCGCCCTTCCATGTGCTCCTTGCTGCAAAGGCAAGTTATAGATTGGGGCAGTTGCCATTTGTTTGTACAGGAGACATGACTTACAGTCTGACACTTTTGCTCTAACAAGGAGAGAAAATATAATAAAAAACAAGCAATGCCTTAGAGGTAAACATGAGGTATGATACGGTAATTTAAAAAGTGAAGAACAAGAAAGTTACCGCTGATCACTATTTTTTTAACAGAAAAGTGCAATGCAAACAAAAATCTTTAGTCAAAATATATGCAGACTTATACTTGCACTCTTATTTAGATGAGTGAAATTTGTTGGAGAGTGCTAGAGGTATCGTAAAGGGGAAGGTTGGTTATTGCAGCGCAAACAGCAAAGCTATATAAAATAAGGCACCAGGCCTTATAACAACTCATTTGATTTCACTTTACTGGAAAAATATTGCTGAATGATGGGGTGGTTACTAAGTAGTTAGGTTCATTCTCTTACCGAGACACGTTTGTCCATCAGGACCAAGAACTGTTCCAGAGCTGCAAATGCAATCTCCAGTATCCAGACAAGTCCCTCCACACTCCATCAAATCACAGATGTCATAAAAGTCTTAATAAAGGAAGATAAAAACACAAATTCACATTTTCACAAAAGAAAACCTGCTTTGTGAAATCAGACATAACATATACAGTATATTTATTGAATAAAAGCAACAAAAATTGCCCTAAAACATTATAACATTATATTTTGTGTATGGAGAGCTATTTTCTGTTTGAGCTTGTATATAAGTGTCTATCTGATTTTTAAGCCATTGGAAGATTCCCCCTTTATTTCTGTTTTGGTGACAACTCAAAATTTGAGATGTTCTTTCATGTTCACTCAAAGGTGTTCTTACTCTTCTCCAATCAATCCAAAACTAAAAAAAAAAAAAAGTTTTGTCTTTAGGTATACTTTAATCTATGGCTCACAGAGCAGCTTTGAAAATTCAAATATCTATACTTTATTACATTGTGCTCCATAGTTTTGAAGTCAATTTGAATTCACGTGCAAGAATTAGTTTACCTCTAAGAATATACAGTGTATATGTACAGTATATATCTGTCTATATGGAACAACAAAAGCAGATGACTATTTTACAATCACACAATAAACTGTACCTTTCCTATAAAAAAAACTTTAAGTCACTTTATGTTAGTCAAATGCATACACATAGGAATAGTAGAATGCACAGTACAGTTACCCCTTAGAACATTTCAAATATCAGTTTACTGTCAGTTCAATGAAACATAATTTCATATTGGTTGTTTTTTATCACTGAATCTCACACATTTCTGTTAAATGTTTTGTGTATTAAACATGGAAGAGTGAACTTCATTTCCCATCCATTTATGTTGTTTAGCAGTATGTATCCATGTAAGACCATCACTCCATCAATCCTACAACAATCTTCTGAATCACATAGAAGAACCTTATGCGTTCATATAATTATGTCAATAGTTATTGTTGGAGATATTTCCAGTGTACATTTACCAATTACCACATCACAGAAACATGGTAGGGGTTTGTAGTGCTACAAATGTTTCTAAAGTCTAGAGCAGGGGTCAAACTGTGGCCCTTTGCTTGCTTTTATTTGGCCCTTGGGGCACTTTTCCTGCCACTGATATGAAGCACTATTCCTTCCATTGACAGCAACGATGGGGAACTATTCATCCCACTGACACCAACAATGGGGCACTATTCTTCCCACTGACACCAACAACGGGACGCTATTCTACCCATTTACACCAACGACGGGATGCTTTTTTCCCACTGACACCAGCGATGGGGCGCTATTCCTCCCACTGACACCAACTTTTTCTAAAACTACTAAGTCAATGTGTATTGTGAGATTTATGGAACAGCCATATTTACACAACAGTAGATTCTCAAAAACAGCTAGAGAAAATGTGGGGAAATACTCACGACCACAGTACACATGGAAGCAGACACTTGGTTTAGTAAGTTGATAGACATAATATCCTCCTGGACAGGCTTTGATGGCCACAGTGGTATTCCACTGGCAACAGTCTTTGTCAAAGCTGGCACAGGCTTGTCTTTGCACAATGCCCTCTGATTCACTTGGATGACTCCCATTGAGCCAGATTGGTGCATGAGTGCCACAAAGATTTTCTGGAATACAAAATGTAGGCATAGCATCTCCAGCCATCCCAGTGAACCGATACCACTCCCCATCTAAATGGTTGTCACACATTGGTTTGTCTTGGGACTCATTGAACACATGATCTGTGTTTCTCCAAGGCTCATTCAGGCTTATATAAGCCGAACACGGATCTAGAGCTTGTGAGAATGAAATGAGATCATTAGAGACCATTGCAACAGATTTAACTGCACACAGAAACAAACGTTTGCCATTGTATTACATTATGTAGGGTAAACCAATTATTATCTATTCAATCAGCCAACTTTTGAAAATGTTTTAGATAGAATTTGAAAGGGTTAGGACAACTTCAGGTTTGTAGTGCTATCTAGGTCCACAGTGGGCAGATTTATAGCTTTGTGTGTACTCCAGTCAAACATGAACATTTTCCACTTAAACTGTCTCGCAACCTACACCTTGTTCAGTTATATGCATCAAGGCATTCATCTTCTACATCTGATTGCTCCTCTAGTAAATCCTTATCATTGCCAATATTCCGGTTTGCTGAATGGCTGTACATATGAGCTCATGGAATAAAAAAACCTTGCTGTCTTTGGCTCTACTAAAAAGATTTCTCATCCCTTCCTATTCACCTCAATAATTATCACTTGATCAGGAAGTAAGGGGAAATCTCTGAGATCAGGACAAAATCAGCAATACCATCTCAATTGAGGTTGTAACCCTTCCCCCATATATCCAAAAGAGATAGGAAAAAACAGTTATAACAGGGCATACATGTTCCTTTTTATTTGCCTGCAGATTCTAACAGTTTTCAAGTATCACTCGGCATTTATGACAAATTAAGTCATTTGCTAAATGATCAAAGTCAGCTCTAAACTAAATTAACTTGTAATTAGTTTTTAAATTATAATGTTAATCTTAGGTTAATTAATGTATTCAAGTCAGCTTGCCTTACTAGAGGTTATTACTTCTATGCATATCCTTCAAATATAAAATGATTTTATTACAGCACTCAGTCTTTTTAGGTTGCTGTGCTGCTTCACAAGCTCAGTGAATTCAAGCGTGGTACAGTGATAGGTTGTCATCTGTGCAATAAGTCCTTCCATGAAATTTCTTGCTACTAAATATTCCACGGTCAGCTGTTAGCGGTATTATAACAATGTGGAAGCAACTGGGAACAACAGCAACTCAGCCATGAAGTGGTAGGCCACGTAAAATGACAGAGCAGGGTCAGCGCATGCTGAAGCGCACAGAAGTCACCAACTGTCTGCAGAGTCAAAAGCTAAAGCTGCACAAGATTTTGCACTCTCCAGTTTTAGTAATGCAACCCTAATGTCTCACTTATCCTGGGTGTTGTAATTCAGCAGCCTAATGTAGCTATATATTTCCTTTAGGACACTACTGTGCAAATTTTTTTTTCTTGATTTACTCTGCTGACAACAATGGAGGTGTTATACCAGGTGTTAATTGCTGTACTTGCCACATAGGAAACAGAAGTTGGGCAGTACAACTCTTTAGTCAGGATTTGTTTCTCATAAGGAATAATATAGAAAATGTGTTCGATGGTTCAGTATAAATTTTGAAAAAAAAAAATTGCTGTCTGGCGATATTTTTTCATGTGGGTACCTAATACATGAGGCAAGCGCAAGACCGGAAGTTCTCCTAAATTTGACACATCAAATTTTTCTTAATTAATATTAATCTTTCACCCCTACTAGCACCACCCTCCAAAACACACTCCCTTTTCCAAGTCATTGAAGGAGTCCTGTCTCAGTAATGCCTACATTGACAAGGCAGACAAGGCTTATCCCTTCGTATACAATGGCATTTAAAAAGTGTAGATCTTTACTGCAATTTGTGATGTACAAAGGGTTTATAAGATCATTGTTTTTCCATGTTAAAGTCCCAAGCTGGGGGGGTCCTGTAGGAACAGAAACCATTCAAATTTCCTAAAACTACAAACTATTTTAAAAGTAAGCAGACCAGGCAAAACAGAATTGGCATTTATTCCACCATTATAGCATTGGTGGTAAAATAAAAATACATTATATATACAAGACAGATGATGACCTTAATGCTCAAGGGAAATAAAATATTTAAGCTACATCCCAAAGCAAGCCTTGAAAACCACCATTATTGTAATATAGAAATAGCTTAGACTACAAATAAGATGATATTGATATGAAAAATAACGCATACAAGTTACCAGCACTTTAAAGCAGCATTACAAGCAAAAATGTAATATGTCGCAGCTTACTAATCATTACTAGTGGTGGCTGCACTGGATTTCTTTAGGCTTTTTCCCTGCTGTTTTCACCTGGTGATCTGACTAGGAACACACCTCCTCTATTAGAGAGACACCACTCTGGATGAATCAGCACAGGGGACACCTTTGTACAGCACCATTGTCAATCTGGGGGGACATTAGTTTTAGATGTACTACCAGATATAGATACATTAACAAAGATGAAGCTAAACACCAACTAACACATAATAAGCATTTACAGCAAATCATTTTTTTTTTTCCTTTTGGCATAAAGGTTTAACATAACAAAAAAATTATTATTGTAAGCAGCCCTGCCCTGTAACTGGCACATCCAGACGAGAGCTTGTTCTTTTGAAAAATGTCAGAATTACTGGCCAGATCACCAGATGAAAATAGAAGAAAGAATGCCTAAAAAAAGAAAACTAATGCAGCCATCACATATATGATGCAAATGTTCGCTTTTGGGTTGAACACTACTTATCCATTTCAAAAAGCAATGCAACATACACTATTTGAACAGTAGAAATATTAGTAGTCACAGTTCATCAACAAATCCTTGCCACTAGCTTGCTAAAAGAATGACACATGGCTTTCTGATAAAACCATTTTTATCCACAATACAAGTGTTTAAAATTAAATTACATTGATCAGCATTAGTAGGCGTATGACTGTTACATTTTTACCGAATACATTTTAAAAGATGCAGCCACTTACCCAATGGAGTCACTGGGCTCAGTCTGGAGTAGAAAAAGAAAGTCAAAAGAAATAGCATTGTAAAATTCTTTGTGCAAATGGGAAAATAGGACTTGGTCCTTTGTGCAAGGAGCTTTAGAAGAGTGTTCTGCTGCTATCTGCAATATATTGAAGATTTTGTTATTCTTATTTATCACTATGACCTCTTCTTTATCATGTCCAGTGGATACATTATCAGAAGGAAGTTGATGAAATGGGCCAAGCCCCTGACCCTTCTAACCAAGTTCTGCCATGTAAACAAGAATATTTTTACTGATTGATCCTCAAGCCTCATCCTCCCATTGTCTTTACAGGCTGGAATTCTCAAAATGATACAGGCTTATCCGAAGGGGAACACAGGGGATGGACTTCCAGGAGACAGCTCATTAGACTGAAGTCAGCCCTTCCGTTTGTCCTGCTAAATCACATGCTTGATACACCTTCCAAATCCAATTTTAGAATATTCACAGCCCCAAACTGTCCTTCTAATTTACCATAAGGGAAGCATTTTTTTCTATGATGAACAGACTAAAGTTTACACAGCGTGCACACTAATCTTAAATTTGCTATCTTATAGGGAACATCTAGAAATGGTAATCTTGTCTAAGCAGTGCTCAACAAAATCTACAATTTGGCTTGAATTCCTCTTGAAAAATAGCAAGGCACTATTGTGCCTTGAGCCTCATAGCTGTATATGTGCAGTAGAAGGTTACCAAAGTTACTGCTGCCTATGAATATTGTTTCACTAAATGAGATTTGGTGATGTCACTATTGTGCCTGAGCCTCATAGCTGTATATGTGCAGTAGAAGGTTACCAAAGTTACTGCTGCTATGAATGTTGTTTTCACTAGAATGAGATTTGGTGATGTCACTATTGTGCCTTGAGCCTCATAGCTGTATATGTGCAGTAGAAGGTTACCAAAGTTACTGCTGCTATGAATGTTGTTTCACTAGAATGAGATTTGGTGATGTCACTATTGTGCTGCTCACTGTTTTTGCTGGAAGAGGAGCTGTACCTGAAGACCTGCAAAGAAAGGATCTCCCTGCTTTGGCTTTACCACTGATGAACACTGCACCCATATACTTTACTGGCCACCACTGATTAACAGTGTACCCACACAATTCACTGGCCATTGATTCACAACAATACACAGTTTTTCCTCAGGGATAGTGGGAAGAGTAGGAGACTATACAGTAGTATCGCTAAAACCTCAATGTTTATTATATACACATTATAGTCACAAAAATCACAGGGTACATAAAGCATCTAACTCCTCGCCATTGTACACCGATGAGCATAATTATGTCACAGGCCACTGGCCTCGCCCAAAACACATTTTGTCTGCAAGTGGAAATCTTCAGGGGACAACTTGTGCTCAAACTCTGATTGCTAGCATTTTGGACAATCAACCCATTTGTTGGTTGTTTTTGTTATTATATGGGGCTTTTCTGTCTTTAATTTTTGCTTGTGATTGATATGAGGGCTGCAGCCACTTTTAGCTGCTGTCCTATAACAAACTACTTTTTTTTTGCTGGTGAGACTTTTGTTTAAAAAAAGTGTTTTTTTATGTTTTAAGTGGGTATTTTGGGGGTTTAATTTTCTGGGGGGTATATTACTTTATATTTTTTGTTGACATGGCCTTTATTTCCATTTTGAGGCGTTTAAAGTGCAGCATTCGCCTTTTATCGACCATTTGTTTTTGGAGCTGCCTTATGTTTGCCTTCACGCTGCTGCTTTGTTTAAAAGAAAAAAAGAATTGTGCAATAACAGTGTGAACGTAGATCAACTCATATTATACACATTTACCGATCCCCCTTATCCCATAGTAAAAATAAATGATAGGCAAACAGCAACTAGGCCTATTATCCAAGAATAAAACTGGCCTTTCAGTGGCCAGGTATACACTGCTTAATCATTTCTTTTACCTGGTGACTACCATTGGATGTTACAATATACCTACATTCTGCCTGCATTGATATCAAGGCTTATGTATAAACAATATGAATAATATCAGCAGCAGGAGCTGGTAAGAAACATGTACAGTATTGATTAGAAGAATGAATTAATAGATATTTGAGCAGACTACTTCCTAGC